TTTAGATTATACATGTATCTTATTATTAGTAAAATTGAAAAAAAAATAACCTTTTGCTTCTTTTAAGTAGCAAGGTTTATGCCTTTGAGCAATCATTTAGCTGTAAGTTCTATATTTGTTAAAAAAATGCTATAATGAAAGCTTTACATAATGAATGGATACTTTCTTAACAGATTTTTCCCAACAGTGGGAGTATTTTTACAGATTATGTAATAAAATTTTACTGTTCGCGATCAAAATTTCACTGTTCGGGGGTGTTGAAAGAAAATAGAGGTATGATACTTAAACAAGTGATTTTCATGTCATTATCCCAGATTCAGTACAAGGGCATCACCTGACATGACCGGTCATTCTATCAACACAGACGTTGGTTCTGATAATTTTAGCAACATAATTAGTGCCTGGATCATTAGTATTGTATATTTAAAGCTACAATTCATCCTGACAAGTGTAATGTTCTGTCCATCAGTCGAAGTAAAAATTCAGTAGTATACAATGTAAAATTACAATTTACATGGCCACATTCTTGAACATGTTGACAAAGCAAATTATGTAGGTGTGACAATTCAATCAGACCTAAAATCGCACAGTCACATATACATAAACAACATCTGTAATAAGGCTAACAGCACACCTGGTTTTCTCAGAAGGAATCTTAACATCAGTTCCACTTCAGTAAAGGAACAGGCATATAAATCCTTAGTCAGACCATCACTAGAATATTTCTGTTCAGTTTGGGACTCTGACTTTACTAAGGATATAAATAAAATAGAAAAAGTACATAGAAGGGCTGCTAGATTTATCACTAACTGACACAGAAACTTTTCAAGTGTTAGTGACATGTCTTGTATGCAAATTTGTCCACCATATGTTAAAGTTAAACAATTTCCTGTGTAATTTTGCATCTATTTAAAACAATTGACGTCTTAATTAAAAAGTGAATGTTGCATGACACCAGGGCAAGGTTATTCAGAGACAGATCCAAGGTAATTCAAATTAAATTCAGCTAAATACCAAAAAGGGGTGATACTTCTATTACATGTTAGCCCTGGGTTCGTTTCCCCGATTTTTCTTTTAAAATATATTAATATTAATGAGGGTGGAAGGATCTTTTGTGGAACATTAGGAATGGGCCTTTATTTTTACAGGAATTCTGGATTTTCACTTATCAGGACTTGGGAATTATTGATTTTATTCGGGATCCAGGAAAGATTACTTAATTTTTAGGGAAATTTGGGATTCAGCATTTATTTTTCCAAGAATTGGGGATAACACCCACTTCTACATATTTTTAGAATATGTCAGTGCTATAGAAAATAACAGTGTTATAAAAAGTAAATGATGTTTGAAGTAAATGACTCCGAGTGTTAGAGTTAGGTCTGGTAACAGATGTTTTAAATGATTCATAAACTGTATCAGTAAAGATAATACATCCTGATCCAAGCTGATCCTAAAGTCAAATTAGACACAACTTGTCTCTTGGTACTTCTTTGTTCCCTCATATGGTACACTGTTGCTCAAAGTATTTTCTCATGGTACATACATTATGACATACATATGTCGTTTGTTGGTGTGGTTCATAAGTGTTTCTCGTTTCTCATTTTTAGCTCACCGGGGCCCGAAGGGCCCCATGTGAGCTTATGCCATCACTTGGCGTCTGTCGTCGTCGTCGTCTGTCGTCGTAAACTATTTCAAAAATCTTCTCCTCTGAAACTACTGGGTCAAATACCTTCAAACTTTAACTAAATGTTCCTTAGGGTATCTAGTTTATAAATTGTATCCGAAGTTTTGATCCATCGACAAACATGGCCGCCATGGCTAAAAATAGAACATAGGGGTCAAATGTAGTTTTTTGCTTATATCTCAAAAACTAAAGCTTTTAGAGCAAATCTGACATGGGGTAAAATTGTTCAATTGGTCAAGATCTATCAGACGAATCGAACAACTCATTGTTGGGTTGCTGCCACTAAATTGGTAGTTTTAAGGAAATTTTGCAGTTTTTATACGACCGCAAAAAAATTTTTGTGGTCATATATTGGTATGACGTTGGCGTCGTCGTCGTTGTCGTCCGAAGACACATTAGTTTTTGCACTCTAACTTTAGTTTAAATGAATGGATCTCTATGAAATTTTACCATAAGGTTCAATACCACAAAAGGAAGGTGGGGATGGATTTTGGGGGTTATGGTACCAACAGTTAAGGAATTAGGGGCCAAAAAGGGGCCAAAAATAAGCATTTTTGTAACTTCCAGACATAAACTTGTGTGTTAGTGTATGGATCTCTCTGACATTGTACCACAAGGTTCCATATCACAAAGGGAATGCTGGGATTGATTTTTGGGGTAATTGCCTCCAAATTTTAGGAATTAGGGGCCAAAAAGGGGGCAAAAAACAAGCATTTTTCTAGTTTCATGACAATAACTTGTGTGTAAGTCTTTGGATCTTTCTGAAATTGTACCACAAGGTTCCATATCACAAAGGGAATGCTGGGATTGATTTTTGGGGGTAATTACCTCCAAATTTTAGGAATTAGGGGCCAAAAAGGGGCAAAAAACAAGCATTTTTATACGACCGCAAAAAAATTTTGTGGTCGTATATTGGTATGATGTTGGCGTCTTCGTCGTCTGGCGTCGTCGTCGTCGTCCGGCGTCGCCGGCGTCGTCGTCGTCCGGCGTCGTCGTCCGAAGACACATTGGTTTTCGCACTCTAACTTTAGTTTAAGTGAATGGATCTTTTTGAAATTTGACCATAAGGTTAAATACCACAAAAGGAAGGTTGGGATTGATTTTGGGGGTTATGGTACCAACAGTTAAGGAATTAGGGGCCAAAAAGGGGCCAAAAATAAGCATTTTCTAGTTTCCAGACAATAACTGTGGAACGGTGTATGGATCTCTCTGAAATTATACTACAAGTTTCCATACCACAAAGGGATGGTTAGGATTTGCTTTGGGGGGTTATGGCTCAAACCGTTTAGGAATTAGGGGCAAAAAAGGGGGAAAAACAAGGTTGTCCTGGTTAATGGACAAATACTTTAGTACAAAACATAATTTAAAGCAGTGTAAGGGAGATAAATCAAATACATCATTGAAATTATCTCCCTTACACTGCTTTTAAATTATGTATAAAGTAATGGTTAATGAACAATAAAGATAATTTAAAACAGTGTAAGGGAGGTAATCCAAATACAACGTTTTGGTTACTTCCCTTACACTGCTTTTAAATTATGTTTAAAGAAATACATATTTATAAAGGAAGACCAGTAAAAATATCTGCAAATGTTGCATCTTTTTTTTTTACAAAAAAATCCATATGAAAGATTTGACACTATATTTTTAATTCTATTATAAAATAGATTAAGTTAGCACTATGGTAAATTTAAATGGGTAATTATGGTTGCCAACTCCATTGGAAATTTGAATTGATATTATGACCATATCTTGAGGGAAAGAATTTTTTTGGGGAAAAAAGGGGGGGGGGGGATAAAAAGAAATTGTGGGGGGTCAATTTTTTCTCATTTCAGATTTCAGAAATTAAAAAGAATTATTCTTCAAATATTATTTTTTTTTCAAATTTCAAATATTGAAAAATTTCAAGAAGTAATCTTTAATTGCACAGTATGGCGCATTAGATTTGTAAAATCTTTGATCACATTTATTTATTTGTTATGCCGAATCTAACAGTGTATTTAGATTTTTTATTTTGGGTCCAGTTTTCAAATTGGTCTACATTAAGGTCCAAAGGGTCCAAAATTAAACTTTGTTTGATTTTAGCAAAAATTGAATATATGAGGTTCTTTGATATGCTGAATCTAAACATGTATTTAGATTTTTGATTTTTGGCCCAGTTTTCAAGTTGGTCCAAATTGGGGTCCAAAATTAAACTTTGTTTGATTTCAACAAAAATTGAATATATGGGGTTCTTTGATATGCTGAATCTAACCATGTATTTAGATTTTTTATTTGTGGACCCCGTTATCAAATTGGTTCATATTGAGGTCAAAAGGGTCCAAAATTAAACTTTGTTTGATTTCATCTAAAATTGAATTATTGGGGTTCTTTGATATTCCAAATCTAACCGTGTATTTAGATTTTTAATTTTGGGTCCTGTTTTTATACGACCGCAAAAAATTTTTGTGGTCGTATATTGGTATGACGTTGGCGTTGTCGTCGTCGTCGTCGTCGTCGTCGTCCGAATACATATTGGTTTTCGCACTCTAACTTTAGTTTAAGTGAATAGATCTTTTTGAAATTTGACCATAAGGTTAAATACCACAAAAGGAAGGTTGGGATTGATTTTGGGGGTTATGGTACCAACAGTTAAGGAATTAGGGGCCAAAAAGGGGCCAAAAATGAGCATTTTCTAGTTTCCAGACAATAACTGTGGAACGGTGTATGGATCTCTCTGAAATTATACTACAAGTTTCCATACCACAAAGGGATGGTTAGGATTTGCTTTGGGGGGTTATGGCTCAAACCGTTTAGGAATTAGGGACAAAAAAGGGGGAAAAACAAGGTTGTCCTGGTTAATGGACAAATACTTTAGTACAAAACATAATTTAAAGCAGTGTAAGGGAGATAAATCAAATACATCATTGAAATTATCTCCCTTACACTGCTTTTAAATTATGTATAAAGTAATGGTTAATGAACAATAAAGATAATCTAAAACAGTGTAAGGGAGGTAATCCAAATACAACGTTTTGGTTACTTCCCTTACACTGCTTTTAAATTATGTTTAAAGAAATGCATATTTATAAAGGAAGACCAGTAAAAATATCTGCAAATGTTTTCATCTTTTTTTTTTACAAAAAAATCCATATGAAAGATTTGACACTATATTTTTATTAATTCTATTATAAAATAGATTAAGTTAGCACTATGGTAAATTTAAATGGGTAATTATGGTTGCCATCTCCATTGGAAATTTGAATTGAGATTATGACCATATCTTGAGGGAAAGAATTTTTTTGGGGGAAAAAGGGGGGGGGGATAAAAAGAAATTGTGGGGGGCCAATTTTTCTCATTTCAGATTTCAGAAATTAAAAAGAATTATTCTTCAAATATTATTTTTTTTTCAAATTTCAAATATTGAAAAATTTCAAGAAGTAATCTTTAATTGCACAGTATGGCGCATTAGATTTGTAAAATCTTTGATCACATTTATTTATTTGTTATGCCGAATCTAACAGTGTATTTAGATTTTTAATTTTGGGTCCAGTTTTCAAATTGGTCTACATTAATGTCCAAAGGGTCCAAAATTAAACTTTGTTTGATTTTAGCAAAAATTGAATATATGAGGTTCTTTGATATGCTGAATCTAAACATGTATTTAGATTTTTGATTTTTGGCCCAGTTTTCAAGTTGGTCCAAATTGGGGTCCAAAATTAAACTTTGTTTGATTTCAACAAAAATTGAATATATGGGGTTCTTTGATATGCTGAATCTAACCATGTATTTAGATTTTTTATTTGTGGACCCCGTTATCTAATTGGTTCATATTGAGGTCAAAAGGGTCCAAAATTAAACTTTGTTTGATTTCATCTAAAATTGAATTATTGGGGTTCTTTGATATTCCAAATCTAACCGTGTATTGAGGTTTTTAATTTTGGGTCCTGTTTTTTAAATTGGTCTACATTGAGGTCCAAAGGGTCCAAAATTAAACTTAGTTTGATTTTGACAAAAATTTAATTCTTGGGGTTCTTTGATTTGCTGAATCTAAACTTGTGTTTAGATTTTTGATTATGGGCCCAGTTTTCAAGTTGGTCGAAGATAGGGTCCAGTATTTAAACTTTGTTTGATTTCAACAAAAATTGAATATATGGGGTTCTTTGATATGCTGAATCTAAACATGTATTTAGATTTTTGATTATGGGCCCAGTTTTCAAGTTGGTCCAAATTGGGGTCCAAAATTAAACTTTGTTTGATTTCAACAAAAATTGAATATATGAGGTTCTTTGATATGCTGAATCTAACCATGTATTTAGATTTTTTATTTGTAGGCCCCCCTATCAAATTGGTTCATATTGAGGTCAAAAGGGTCCAAAATTAAACTTTGTTTGATTTCATCGAAAATTGAATTATTGGGGTTCTTTGATATGCCAAATCTAACCGTGTTTTTAGATTTTTAATTTGGGTTCCGTTTTTTAAATTGGTCTTCATTGAGGTCCAAAGGATCCAAAATTAAACTTAAGTTTGATTTTAACAAAAATTGAATTCTTGGGGTTCTTTGATATGCTGAATCTAAACATGTGTTTAGATTTTTGATTATGGGCCCAGTTTTCAAGTTGGTCCAAGTTGTGGTCCAAAATTAAACTTTTTTTTATTTCAACAAAAATTGAATATATGGGGTTCTTTGATATGCTGAATCTAACCATGAATTTAGATTTTTTATTTGTGGGCCCCGCTATCAAATTGGTTCATATTGAGGTCAAAAGGGTCCAAAATTAAACTTTGTTTGATTTCATCAAAAATTGAAATATTGAGGTTCTTTGATATTCCAAATCTAACCGTGTATTTAGATTTTTAATTTTAAGTCCTGTTTTTTAAATTGGTCTACATTAAGGTCCAAAGGGTCCAAAATTAAACTTAGTTTGATTTTAGCAAAAATTGAATTCTTGGGGTTCTTTGATATGCTGAATCTAAACATGTGTTTAGATTTTTGATTATGGGCCCAGTTTTCAAGTTTGTCCAAGTTGGGGTCCAAAATTAAACTTTGTTTGATTTTAACAAAAATTGAATATATGGGGTTCTTTGATATGCTGAATCTAACCATGTATTTTGATTTTGGACATTGGACCATAATAGGTAAATTAAAAAAATTCAAGTTCTTAGACCACATTCTTTCTGTGTCAGAAACCTATGCTGTGTCAAATATTTAATAACAATCCAAATTCAGAGCTGTATCAAGCTCTAATGTTGTGTCCATACTTGCCCCAACTGTTCAGGGTTCGACCTCTGCAGTCGTATCAAGCTGCGCCCCAGCGAAGCATTTTATTTAAATTGGTCTACATTAAGGTCCAAAGGGTCCAAAATTAAACTTAGTTTGATTTTAACAAAAATTGAATTCTTGGGGTTCTTTGATATGCTTAATCTAAACATGTGTTTAGATTTTTTATTATAGGCCCAGTTTTCAAGTTGGTCCAAGATAGGGTCCAGTATTTAAACTTTGTTTGATTTCAACAAAAATTGAATATATGGGGTTCTTTGATATGCTGAATCTAAACATGTATTTAGATTATTGATTATGGGCCCAGTTTTCAAGTTGGTCCAAATTGGGGTCCAAAATTAAACTTTGTTTGATTTCAACAAAAATTGAATATATGAGGTTCTTTGATATGCTGAATCTAACCATGTATTTAGATTTTTTATTTGTGGGCCCCGCTATCAAATTGGTTCATATTGAGGTCAAAAGGGTCTAAAATTAAACTTTGTTTGATTTCATCAAAAATTGAATTATTGGGGTTCTTTGATATGCCAAATCTAACTGTGTTTTTAGATTTTTAATTTGGGTCCCATTTTTTAAAATTGGTCTACATTAAGGTCCAAAGGGTCCAAAATTAAACTTATTTTGATTTTAGCAAAAATTGAATTATTGGGGTTCTTTGATATGCTGAATCTAAACATCTGTTTAGATTTTTATACGACCGCAAAAATTGAAAATTTTTTGGTCGTATATTGGTATGACGTTGGCGTCGTCGTCGTCGTCGTCCGGCGTCGTCCGAAGACACATTGGTTTTCGCACTCTAACTTTAGTTTAAGTCAATGGATCTCCATGAAATTTTACCATAAGGTTCAATACCACGAAAGGAAGGTTGGGATTGATTTTGGGGGTTATGGTACCAACAGTTAAGGAATTAGGGGTCAAAAAGGGGCCAAAAATAAGCATTTTTGTAACTTCCAGACAATAACTTGTGTGTAAGTGTATGGATCTCTCTGACATTGTACCACAAGGTTCCATATCACAAAGGGAAGGCTGTAATTAATTTTGGGGGTAATTGCCTCAAAATTTTAGGAATTACGGGCCAAAAAAGGGGCAAAAAACAAGCATTTTTCTAGTTTCATGACAATAACTTGTGTGTAAGTGTATGGATCTTTATGAAATTGTACTACAAGGTTCCATATCACAAAGGGAAAGCTGGAATTGAGTTTGTGGGTAATTGCCCGAAACATTTAGGAATAGGGGGCCAAAAAGGGGCCAAAAATAAGCATTTTTCTAGTTTCCAGACAATAACTTGTGTTCAAGTGTATGGATCTCTCTGAAATTGTACTGCAAGGTACCATATCACAAAGGGAAGGCTGGGATTGAGTTTGGGGGTGATGAATCATAAGGGGGTTCAAAAAATTTGGGGGGGGGATTTTTTTTCTTTCTTTTTTTTTCTTTTTTTCCTTTTTTTTTTTCTTTTAAAATTTTCCATTTTAAGTTGGTTATTTCTGATTAATATTTAAAGCAAATAATAATGATATGGTAGGAGATACACACCAAACAGGATGTGTAAATTATTATATAATAAGTATTGTGCAATAGCAAGAAATTTTCAATTGCACAGTATTGCACAATTGCAAGAAATCTTCAATTGCACAGTATTGCGCAATAGCAAGAAATCTTCAATTGCACAGTATTGCGCAATAGCAAGAAATATCCAATAGCACAATATTGCGCAATAGCAAGAAATTGTCAATTGTACAGTATTGCACAATAGCAAGAAATATTCAATTGCACAGTATTGTGCAAAAGAAGATACTTTGTATAAATTGCTTATTTCTTGATCAATTTCAATGGGGTTTTATTCTTGAATTCTTGGGGTTCTTTAATATGCTGAATCTAACCAAGTATTAAGTTTTTGGATTTTGGGCCCCGTTTTTAAATTGGTCCACATTGAGGTCCAAAGGGTCCAAAATTTAACTTTGTTTGATTTCATCAAAAATTGAATTATTGGGGTTCTTTGATATTCCAAATCTAACCGTGTATTTAGATTCTTAATTTTTGGTTCCGTTTTCAAATTGGTCTACATTAAGGTCAAAAGGGTCCAAAATTAAACTTAGTTTGATTTTAACAAAAATTGAATTTTTAGGGTTCTTTGATATGCTGAATCTAAACATGTATTTAGATTTTTGATTATGGGCCCAGTTTTCAAGTTGGTCCAAATCGGGTTGCAAAATTAAACTTTGTTTGATTTCAACAAAAATTGAATATATGGGGTTCTTTGATATGCTGAATCTAACCATGTATTTAGATTTTTGATTTTTGGGCCCCATTATCAACTTTGTCCACATTGAGGTCAAAAGGGTCCAAAATTAAACTTTGTTTGATTTCATCAAAAATTGAATTCTTGGGGTTCTTTGATATGCTGAATCTAACCATGTATTTAGATTTTTTATTTGTGGACCCGCTATCAAATTGGTTCATATTGAGGTCAAAAGGGTCCAAAATTAAACTTTGTTTGATTTCATCAAAAATTGAATTATTGGGGTTCTTTGATATGCCAAATCTAAGCGTGTATTTAGATTTTTAATTTTGGGTCCCGTTTTTAAATTGGTCTACATTAAGGTCCAAAGGGTCCAAAATTAAACTTAGTTTGATTTTAACAAAAATTGAATTCTTGGGGTTCTTTGATATGCTGAATCTAAACATGTGTTTAGATTTTTGATTATGGGCCCAGTTTTCAAGTTGGTCCAAGTTGGGGTCCAAAATTAAACTTTGTTTGATTTCAACAAAAATTGAATATATGGGGTTCTTGATATGCTGAATCTAAACATGTATTTAGATTTTAGATTTTTGACCCAGTTTTCAAGTTGGTCCAAATTGGGGTCCAAAATTAAACTTTGTTTGATTTCAACAAAAATTGAATATATGGGGTTCTTTGATATGCTGAATCTTACCATGTATTTAGATTTTTTATTTGTGGGCCCGCTATCAAATTGGTTCATATTGAGGTCAAAAGGGTCCAAAATTAAACTTTGTTTGATTTCATCAAAAATTTAATTATTGGGGTTCTTTGATATGCCAAATCTAACTGTGTATTTAGATTTTTAATTTTGGGTCCCGTTTTTTAAATTGGTCTACCTTAAGGTCCAAAGGGTCCAAAATTAAACTTAGTTTGATTTTAACAAAAATTGAATTTTTGGGGTTCTTTGATATGCTGAATCTAAACATGTGTTTAGATTTTTGATTATGGGACCAGTTTTCAAGTTGGTCCAAGTTGGGGTCCAAAATTAAACTTTGTTTGATTTCAACAAAAATTGAATATATGGGGTTCTTTGATATGCTGAATCTAAACATGTATTTAGATTTTAGATTTTTGGCCCAGTTTTCAAGTTGGTCCAAATTGGGGTCCAAAATTAAACTTTGTTTGATTTCAACAAAAATTGAATATATGGGGTTCTTTGATATGCTGAATCTAACCATGTATTTAGATTTTTGATTTTTGGGCCCCATTATCAACTTTGTCCACATTGAGGTCAAAAGGGTCCAAAATTAAACTGTGTTTGATTTCATCAAAAATTGAATTCTTGGGGTTCTTTGATATGCTGAATCTAACCATGTATTTAGATTTTTTATTTGTGGACCCGCTATCAAATTGGTTCATATTGAGGTCAAAAGGGTCCAAAATTAAACTTTGTTTGATTTCATCAAAAATTGAATTATTGGGGTTCTTTGATATGCCAAATCTAAGCGTGTATTTAGATTTTTAATTTTGGGTCCCGTTTTTAAATTGGTCTACATTAAGGTCCAAAGGGTCCAAAATTAAACTTAGTTTGATTTTAACAAAAATTGAATTCTTGGGGTTCTTTGATATGCTGAATCTAAACATGTGTTTAGATTTTTGATTATGGGCCCAGTTTTCAAGTTGGTCCAAGTTGGGGTCCAAAATTAAACTTTGTTTGATTTCAACAAAAATTGAATATATGGGGTTCTTTGATATGCTGAATCTAAACATGTATTTAGATTTTAGATTTTTGACCCAGTTTTCAAGTTGGTCCAAATTGGGGTCCAAAATTAAACTTTGTTTGATTTCAACAAAAATTGAATATATGGGGTTCTTTGATATGCTGAATCTTACCATGTATTTAGATTTTTTATTTGTGGGCCCGCTATCAAATTGGTTCATATTGAGGTCAAAAGGGTCCAAAATTAAACTTTGTTTGATTTCATCAAAAATTTAATTATTGGGGTTCTTTGATATGCCAAATCTAACTGTGTATTTAGATTTTTAATTTTGGGTCCCGTTTTTTAAATTGGTCTACCTTAAGGTCCAAAGGGTCCAAAATTAAACTTAGTTTGATTTTAACAAAAATTGAATTTTTGGGGTTCTTTGATATGCTGAATCTAAACATGTGTTTAGATTTTTGATTATGGGACCAGTTTTCAAGTTGGTCCAAGTTGGGGTCCAAAATTAAACTTTGTTTGATTTCAACAAAAATTGAATATATGGGGTTCTTTGATATGCTGAATCTAAACATGTATTTAGATTTTAGATTTTTGGCCCAGTTTTCAAGTTGGTCCAAATTGGGGTCCAAAATTAAACTTTGTTTGATTTCAACAAAAATTAAATATATGGGGTTCTTTGATATGCTGAATCTTACCATGTATTTAGATTTTTTATTTTGTGGGCCCGCTATCAAATTGGTTCATATTGAGGTCAAAAGGGTCCAAAATTAAACTTTGTTTGATTTCATCAAAAATTGAATTATTGGGGTTCTTTGATATGCCAAATCTAACCGTGTTTTTAGATTTTTAATTTTGGGTCCCGTTTTTTAAATTGGTCTACATTAAGGTCCAAAGGGTCCAAAATTAAACTTAGTTTGATTTTAACAAAAATTGAATTCTTGGGGTACTTTGATATGCTGAATCTAAACATGTGTTTAGATTTTTGATTATGGGACCAGTTTTCAAGTTTGTCCAAGTTGGGGTCCAAAATTAAACTTTGTTTGATTTCAACAAAAATTGAATATATGGGGTTCTTTGATATGCTGAATCTAACCATGTATTTTGATTTTGGGCATTGGACCATAATAGGTAAATTAAAAAAATTGAAGTTCTTAGACCACATTCTTTCTGTGTCAGAAACCTATGCTGTGTCAAATATTTAATCACAATCCAAATTCAGAGCTGTATCAAGCTTGAATGTTGTGTCCATACTTGCCCCAACTGTTCAGGGTTCGACCTCTGCGGTCGTATCAAGCTGCGCCCAGCGAAGCATTTTATTGATTATGGGCCCAGTTTTCAAGTTGGTCCAAGTTGGGGTCCAAAATTAAACTTTGTTTGATTTCAATAAAAATTGAAAATATGGGGTTCTTTGATATGCTGAATCTAACCATGTATTTTGATTTTGGACATTGGACCATAATAGGTAAATTAAAAAAATTCAAGTTCTTAGACCACATTCTTTCTGTGTCAGAAACCTATGCTGTGTCAAATATCTAATAACAATCCAAATTCAGAGCTGTATCAAGCTTGAATGTTGTGTCCATACTTGCCCCAACTGTTCAGGGTTCGACCTCTGCGGTCGTATCAAGCTGCGCCCCAGCGAAGCATTTTATTTAAATTGGTCTACAGTAAGGTCCAAAGGGTCCAAAATTAAACTTAGTTTGATTTTAACAAAAATTGAATTCTTGGGGTTCTTTGATATGCTTAATCTAAACATGTGTTTAGATTTTTGATTATAGGCCCAGTTTTCAAGTTGGTCCAAGATAGGGTCCAGTATTTAAACTTTGTTTGATTTCAGCAAAAATTGAATATATGGGGTTCTTTGATATGCTGAATCTAAACATGTATTTAGATTATTGATTATGGGCCCAGTTTTCAAGTTGGTCCAAATTGGGGTCCAAAATTAAACTTTGTTTGATTTCAACAAAAATTGAATATATGAGGTTCTTTGATATGCTGAATCTAACCATGTATTTAGATTTTTTATTTGTGGGCCCCGCTATCAAATTGGTTCATATTGAGGTCAAAAGGGTCTAAAATTAAACTTTGTTTGATTTCATCAAAAATTGAATTATTGGGGTTCTTTGATATGCCAAATCTAACTGTGTTTTTAGATTTTTAATTTGGGTCCCATTTTTTAAAATTGGTCTACATTAAGGTCCAAAGGGTCCAAAATTAAACTTATTTTGATTTTAGCAAAAATTGAATTATTGGGGTTCTTTGATATGCTGAATCTAAACATCTGTTTAGATTTTTATACGACCGCAAAAATTGAAAATTTTTTGGTCGTATATTGGTATGACGTTGGTGTCGTCGTCGTCGTCGTCGTCGTCGTCCGGCGTCGTCCGAAGACACATTGGTTTTCGCACTCTAACTTTAGTTTAAGTCAATGGATCTCCATGAAATTTTACCATAAGGTTTAATACCACGAAAGGAAGGTTGGGATTGATTTTGGGGGTTATGGTACCAACAGTTAAGGAATTAGGGGCCAAAAATAAGCATTTTTGTAACTTCCAGACAATAACTTGTGTGTAAGTGTATGGATCTCTCTGACATTGTACCACAAGGTTCCATATCACAAAGGGAAGGCTGTAATTGATTTTGGGGGTAATTGCCTCAAAATTTTAGGAATTACGGGCCAAAAAAGGGGCAAAAAACAAGCATTTTTCTAGTTTCATGACAATAACTTGTGTGTAAGTGTATGGATCTTTATGAAATTGTACTACAAGGTTCCATATCACAAAGGGAAAGCTGGAATTGAGTTTGTGGGTAATTGCCCGAAACATTTAGGAATAGGGGGCCAAAAAGGGGCCAAAAATAAGCATTTTTCTAGTTTCCAGACAATAACTTGTGTTCAAGTGTATGGATCTCTCTGAAATTGTACTGCAAGGTACCATATCACAAAGGGAAGGCTGGGATTGAGTTTGGGGGTGATGAATCATAAGGGGGTTCAAAAATTTGGGGGGGGGGGGGGGGTTTTTTCTTTTTTTTTCTTTTTTTCCTTTTTTTTTTTCTTTTAAAATTTTCCATTTTAAGTTGGTTATTTCTGATTAATATTTAAAGCAAATAATAATGATATGGTAGGAGATACACACCAAACAGGATGTGTAAATTATTATATAATAAGTATTGTGCAATAGCAAGAAATTTTCAATTGCACAGTATTGCACAATTGCAAGAAATCTTCAATTGCACAGTATTGCGCAATAGCAAGAAATCTTCAATTGCACAGTATTGCGCAATAGCAAGAAATATCCAATAGCACAATATTGCGCAATAGCAAGAAATTGTCAATTGTACAGTATTGCACAATAGCAAGAAATATTCAATTGCACAGTATTGTGCAAAAGAAGATACTTTGTATAAATTGCTTATTTCTTGATCAATTTCAATGGGGTTTTATTCTTGAATTCTTGGGGTTCTTTAATATGCTGAATCTAACCAAGTATTAAGTTTTTGGATTTTGGGCCCCGTTTTTAAATTGGTCCACATTGAGGTCCAAAGGGTCCAAAATTTAACTTTGTTTGATTTCATCAAAAATTGAATTATTGGGGTTCTTTGATATTCCAAATCTAACCGTGTATTTAGATTCTTAATTTTTGGTTCCGTTTTCAAATTGGTCTACATTAAGGTCAAAAGGGTCCAAAATTAAACTTAGTTTGATTTTAACAAAAATTGAATTTTTAGGGTTCTTTGATATGCTGAATCTAAACATGTATTTAGATTTTTGATTATGGGCCCAGTTTTCAAGTTGGTCCAAATCGGGGTGCAAAATTAAACTTTGTTTGATTTCAACAAAAATTGAATATATGGGGTTCTTTGATATGCTGAATCTAACCATGTATTTAGATTTTTGATTTTTGGGCCCCATTATCAACTTTGTCCACATTGAGGTCAAAAGGGTCCAAAATTAAACTTTGTTTGATTTCATCAAAAATTGAATTCTTGGGGTTCTTTGATATGCTGAATCTAACCATGTATTTAGATTTTTTATTTGTGGACCCGCTATCAAATTGGTTCATATTGAGGTCAAAAGGGTCCAAAATTAAACTTTGTTTGATTTCATCAAAAATTGAATTATTGGGGTTCTTTGATATGCCAAATCTAAGCGTGTATTTAGATTTTTAATTTTGGGTCCCGTTTTTAAATTGGTCTACATTAAGGTCCAAAGGGTCCAAAATTAAACTTAGTTTGATTTTAACAAAAATTGAATTCTTGGGGTTCTTTGATATGCTGAATCTAAACATGTGTTTAGATTTTTGATTATGGGCCCAGTTTTCAAGTTGGTCCAAGTTGGGGTCCAAAATTAAACTTTGTTTGATTTCAACAAAAATTGAATATATGGGGTTCTTTGATATGCTGAATCTAAACATGTATTTAGATTTTAGATTTTTGGCCCAGTTTTCAAGTTGGTCCAAATTGGGGTCCAAAATTAAACTTTGTTTGATTTCAACAAAAATTGAATATATGGGGTTCTTTGATATGCTGAATCTTACCATGTATTTAGATTTTTTATTTGTGGGCCCGCTATCAAATTGGTTCATATTGAGGTCAAAAGGGTCCAAAATTAAACTTTGTTTGATTTCATCAAAAATTTAATTATTGGGGTTCTTTGATATGCCAAATCTAACTGTGTATTTAGATTTTTAATTTTGGGTCCCGTTTTTTAAATTGGTCTACCTTAAGGTCCAAAGGGTCCAAAATTAAACTTAGTTTGATTTTAACAAAAATTGAATTTTTGGGGTTCTTTGATATGCTGAATCTAAACATGTGTTTAGATTTTTGATTATGGGACCAGTTTTCAAGTTGGTCCAAGTTGGGGTCCAAAATTAAACTTTGTTTGATTTCAACAAAAATTGAATATATGGGGTTCTTTGATATGCTGAATCTAAACATGTATTTAGATTTTAGATTTTTGGCCCAGTTTTCAAGTTGGTCCAAATTGGGGTCCAAAATTAAACTTTGTTTGATTTCAACAAAAATTAAATATATGGGGTTCTTTGATATGCTGAATCTTACCATGTATTTAGATTTTTTATTTTGTGGGCCCGCTATCAAATTGGTTCATATTGAGGTCAAAAGGGTCCAAAATTAAACTTTGTTTGATTTCATCAAAAATTGAATTATTGGGGTTCTTTGATATGCCAAATCTAACCGTGTTTTTAGATTTTTAATTTTGGGTCCCGTTTTTTAAATTGGTCTACATTAAGGTCCAAAGGGTCCAAAATTAAACTTAGTTTGATTTTAACAAAAATTGAATTCTTGGGGTACTTTGATATGCTGAATCTAAACATGTGTTTAGATTTTTGATTATGGGACCAGTTTTCAAGTTTGTCCAAGTTGGGGTCCAAAATTAAACTTTGTTTGATTTCAACAAAAATTGAATATATGGGGTTCTTTGATATGCTGAATCTAACCATGTATTTTGATTTTGGGCATTGGACCATAATAGGTAAATTAAAAAAATTGAAGTTCTTAGACCACATTCTTTCTGTGTCAGAAACCTATGCTGTGTCAAATATTTAATCACAATCCAAATTCAGAGCTGTATCAAGCTTGAATGTTGTGTCCATACTTGCCCCAACTGTTCAGGGTTCGACCTCTGCGGTCGTATCAAGCTGCGCCCAGCGAAGCATTTTATTGATTATGGGCCCAGTTTTCAAGTTGGTCCAAGTTGGGGTCCAAAATTAAACTTTGTTTGATTTCAACAAAAATTGAAAATATGGGGTTCTTTGATATGCTGAATCTAACCATGTATTTTGATTTTGGACATTGGACCATAATAGGTAAATTAAAAAAATTCAAGTTCTTAGACCACATTCTTTCTGTGTCAGAAACCTATGCTGTGTCAAATATCTAATAACAATCCAAATTCAGAGCTGTATCAAGCTTGAATGTTGTGTCCATACTTGCCCCAACTGTTCAGGGTTCGACCTCTGCGGTCGTATCAAGCTGCGCCCCAGCGAAGCATTTTATTCTAGTTTCATGACAATAACTTGTGTGTTAGTGTATGGATCTCTCTGACATTGTATCACAAGGTTCCATATCACAAAGGGAATGCTGGGATTGATTTTAGGGGTAATTGCCTTCAAATTTTAGGAATTAGGGGCCAAAAAGGGGCAAAAAACAAGCATTTTTCTAGTTTCATGACAATAACTTGTATGTAAGTGTATGGATCTTTATGAAATTGTACTACAAGGTTTTATATCACAAAGGGAAAGCTGGGATTGATTTTGGGGGTAATTGCCCAAAAAGTTTAGGAATAAAGGGCCAAAAAGGGGCAAAAAACAAGCATTTTTCTAGTTTCATGACAATAACTTGTGTGTAAGTGTATGGATCTCTCTGACATTGTACCACAAGGTTTCATATCACAATGGGAATGCTGGGGTTGATTTTGGGGGTAATTCCCTCAAAATTTTAGGAATTAGGGGCCATAAAAGGGCAAAAAAAACCAAGCATTTTTATAGTTTCAGGACAATAACTTGTGTGTAAGTGTATGGATCTTTATGAAATTGTACTGCAAGGTTCCATATCACAAAGGGAAAGCTGGGTTTGAGTTTGGGGGTATTTGCCCTAAATGTTTAGGAAATTGGGGCCAAAAAGGGGCCAAAAAACAAGCATTTTTCTCGTTTCCAGACAATAACTTGTGTTCAAGTGTATGGATCTCTCTGAAATTGTACTGCAAGGTACCATACCACAAAGAGAAGGCTGGGATTGAGTTTGGGGGTGATGAATATTAAGGGGGTTAAAAAAATTGGGGGGGGGGGGGGGGGGGCGGTTTCCTTTTTTTTCTTTAAAATTTTCCATTTTAAATTGGTTATTTCTGATTTATATATAAAAGCAAATAATAATGATATGGTTTGAATAGGTAAATTAAAATTTTTTAAGTACTTAGACCACCTTCATTCTGTGTCAGAAACCTATGCTGTGTCAAATATTTAATTACAATCCAAATTCAGTGCTGTATCAAGCTTGAATGTTGTGTCCATACTTACCCCAACTGTTCAGGGTTCGACCTCTGCGGTCGTATCAAGCTGCGCCCCAGCGGAGCATTTTATTTGTTATTATCTTGAATATAATTATAGATAGATATAAACTGTAAACAGCAATAATGTTCAGCAAAGTAAGATCTACAGAAAAGTTAAATGACCAAATTTGTCAATTGACCCCTTAAGGAGTTATTGCCCTTTAAAGACAATTTTACACAATGTGTTCATCAAGTTTGCTAACATTTAAAAATCTTCTCCTCTGAAACTACTGGGCCAAATACCTTCAAACTTCATCTAAATGTTCCTTAGGATATCTAGTTTATAAATTGTATCCGAAGTTTTAATCCATTGACAAACATGGCCGCCATGGCTAAAAATAGAACATAGGGGTGAAATGCAGTTTTTGGCTTATATCTCAAAAACTAAAGCTTTTAGAGCAAATCTGACATGGGTAAAATTGTTCAATTGGCCAAGATCTATCAGCCCTGAAATTTTCAGACAAATCGAAAAACCCATTGTTGGGTTGCTGCCACTAAATTGGTAGTTTTGAGGAAATTTTGCAGTTTTTTGTTATTATCTTGAATATTATTATAGATAGATATAAACTGTAAACAGCAATAATGTTCAGCAAAGTAAGATCTACAGAAAAGTTAAATGACCAAATTTGTCAATTGACCCCTTAAGGAGTTATTGCCCTTTAAAGACAATTTTACACAATGTGTTCATCAAGTTTGCTAACATTTAAAAATCTTCTCTTCTGAAACTATTGTGCCTAATACTTCTTAACTTTGAATGAATGATCCTTTAGGAATCTAGTTTATGAATTGTATCCGAAATTTTGATCCATCAACAAACATGGCCGCCATGGCTAAAAATAGAACATAGGGGTGAAATGCAGTTTTTGGCTTATATCTCAGAAACTAAAGCATTTAGAGCAATCTGACATGGGGTTAAAATGTTCAAAAAGTCAAGATCTATCAGCCCTGAAATTGTCAGACACACTGAACAACCCATTGTTGGGTTGCTGCCACTAAATTGGTTGTTTTAAGGAAATTTTGCAGTTTTTGGTTATTATCTTGAATATTATTGAAGATAAAGATAAACTGTAAACATCAAAAATGTTCAGCAAAGTAAGATCTACAAAAAAGTTTATATGACCAAAATTGTCAATTGACCCCTTAAGGAGTTATTGCCCTTTAAGGACAATTTTACACAAGTTGTTTTATGTTTTTTAGCTTTAAAAATCTTCTCAAATGAATCTAGTATAAATTTTGTATTTCATTTCCTTGTACGTCAAGAAACATAGACACTATGGCTAAAATGGAACATATGGGTAAAAAGCAAAAATAATCATTGATGAAAGATTTAAGCAAAAAAAAAACCAGGTGAGCGATTCAGGCTCTTGAGAGCCTCTTGTTTATATAGATTAGACCGTTGGTTTTCCAGTTTGAATTGTTTTACATTAGTCATTTTGGGGTACGTTGTGACTTGGAGTTGTCTCATTGGCACTCATACCACATCTTCTTATTTATATATAACTTTGTCAGTTGTTTTATATCGTTCCTGTAAACTTCAGTAATTATCTGTTAGCAGCAATGCAACATAGATATTCAAAATTTTCAACACACTTTACTCAAATGATATATTATATATACCATTATAAAACAAGACAACAAAATAAAAGAGGAATAAAGACGAAAGGACCCAAGACAAACAGGAACTAGGGTTATCACAAATCAGGGTGAATGGACACTGATTCCTGATTTGTTTGGTAACCCACTGGCAGACAAATAAAAAAATCTCTCTGAACACAGAATCCCAAAAGGGATAAGTGTTGCTAGTGGAAAGTGACAAACAGATAACAAAAATTTAGTCTGGGTAAAACATAATTTAAAAGCAAGGTTGAATAGCAAGAACTAATAGCATATATTCTGATTATTAGTTAAACTAGAACACACCCGCGAAATCGCGGGCATTTAGAGCGAGGTTGAAAGTACTATGTTAACTGTTGTAGGATGAATTTTAGTAAAAGATTTTATGACTGGAGAATTTCAGGAAAGGCATCAAAAGTCAAAGGTACTTAAGGACAGGACAGTTTTTTTTAGCCCTCCCCCTTTTTTGAAAGTACATTATTTTTTGTTTTCTGATAATTATACGACCGCAAAAAAATTTTGTGGTCGTATATTGGTATGATGTTGGCGTCGTCGTCGTCGTCGTCGTCGTCCGGCGTCGTCGTCGTCCAGCGTCGTCGACCGAATACATATTGGTTTTCGCACTCTAACTTTAGTTTAAGTGAATGGATCTTTTTGAAATTTGACCATAAGGTTAAATACCACAAAAGGAAGGTTGGGATTGATTTTGGGGGTTATGGTACCAACAGTTAAGGAATTAGGGGCCAAAAAGGGGCCAAAAATGAGCATTTTCTAGTTTCCAGACAATAACTGTGGAACGGTGTATGGATCTCTCTGAAATTATACTACAAGTTTCCATACCACAAAGGGATGGTTAGGATTTGCTTTGGGGGGTTATGGCTCAAACCGTTTAGGAATTAGGGGCAAAAAAGGGGGAAAAACAAGGTTGTCCTGGTTAATGGACAAATACTTTAGTACAAAACATAATTTAAAGCAGTGTAAGGGAGATAAATCAAATACATCATTGAAATTATCTCCCTTACACTGCTTTTAAATTATGTATAAAGTAATGGTTAATGAACAATAAAGATAATCTAAAACAGTGTAAGGGAGGTAATCCAAATACAACGTTTTGGTTACTTCCCTTACACTGCTTTTAAATTATGTTTAAAGAAATGCATATTTATAAAGGAAGACCAGTAAAAATATCTGCAAATGTTTTCATCTTTTTTTTTTACAAAAAAATCCATATGAAAGATTTGACACTATATTTTTTTTAATTCTATTATAAAATAGATTAAGTTAGCACTATGGTAAATTTAAATGGGTAATTATGGTTGCCAACTCCATTGGAAATTTGAATTGAGATTATGACCATATCTTGAGGGAAAGAATTTTTTGGGGGAAAAAAGGGGGGGGGGGATAAAAAGAAATTGTGGGGGGCCAATTTTTTCTCATTTCAGATTTCAGAAATTAAAAAGAATTATTCTTCAAATATTATTTTTTTTTCAAATTTCAAATATTGAAAAATTTCAAGAAGTAATCTTTAATTGCACAGTATGGCGCATTAGATTTGTAAAATCTTTGATCACATTTATTTATTTGTGATGCCGAATCTAACAGTGTATTTAGATTTTTAATTTTGGGTCCAGTTTTCAAATTGGTCTACATTAATGTCCAAAGGGTCCAAAATTAAACTTTGTTTGATTTTAGCAAAAATTGAATATATGAGGTTCTTTGATATGCTGAATCTAAACATGTATTTAGATTTTTGATTTTTGGCCCAGTTTTCAAGTTGGTCCAAATTGGGGTCCAAAATTAAACTTTGTTTGATTTTAACAAAAATTGAATATATGGGGTTCTTTGATATGCTGAATCTAACCATGTATTTAGATTTTTTATTTGTGGACCCCGTTATCTAATTGGTTCATATTGAGGTCAAAAGGGTCCAAAATTAAACTTTGTTTGATTTCATCTAAAATTGAATTATTGGGGTTCTTTGATATTCCAAATCTAACCGTGTATTTAGGTTTTTAATTTTGGGTCCTGTTTTTTAAATTGGTCTACATTGAGGTCCAAAGGGTCCAAAATTAAACTTAGTTTGATTTTGACAAAAATTTAATTCTTGGGGTTCTTTGATTTGCTGAATCTAAACTTGTGTTTAGATTTTTGATTATGGGCCCAGTTTTCAAGTTGGTCCAAGATAGGGTCCAGTATTTAAACTTTGTTTGATTTCAACAAAAATTGAATATATTGGGTTGTTTGATATGCTGAATCTAAACATGTATTTAGATTTTTGATTATGGGCCCAGTTTTCAAGTTGGTCCAAATTGGGGTCCAAAATTAAACTTTGTTTGATTTCAACAAAAATTGAATATATGAGGTTCTTTGATATGCTGAATCTAACCATGTATTTAGATTTTTTATTTGTAGGCCCCGCTATCAAATTGGTTCATATTGAGGTCAAAAGGGTCCAAAATTAAACTTTGTTTGATTTCATCGAAAATTGAATTATTGGGGTTCTTTGATATGCCAAATCTAACCGTGTTTTTAGATTTTTAATTTGGGTTCTGTTTTTTAAATTGGTCTTCATTGAGGTCCAAAGGGTCCAAAATTAAACTTAGTTTGATTTTAACAAAAATTGAATTCTTGGGGTTCTTTGATATGCTGAATCTAAACATGTGTTTAGATTTTTGATTATGGGCCCAGTTTTCAAGTTGGTCCAAGTTGGGGTCCAAAATTAAACTTTTTTTATTTCAACAAAAATTGAATATATGGGGTTCTTTGATATGCTGAATCTAACCATGAATTTAGATTTTTTATTTGTGGGCCCCGCTATCAAATTGGTTCATATTGAGGTCAAAAGGGTCCAAAATTAAACTTTGTTTGATTTCATCAAAAATTTAAATATTGGGGTTCTTTGATATTCCAAATCTACCTGTGTATTTAGATTTTTAATTTTAAGTCCCGTTTTTTAAATTGGTCTACATTAAGGTCCAAAGGGTCCAAAATTAAACTTAGTTTGATTTTAGCAAAAATTGAATTCTTGGGGTTCTTTGATATGCTGAATCTAAACATGTGTTTAGATTTTTGATTATGGGCCCAGTTTTCAAGTTTGTCCAAGTTGGGGTCCAAAATTAAACTTTGTTTGATTTTAACAAAAATTGAATATATGGGGTTCTTTGATATGCTGAATCTAACCATGTATTTTGATTTTGGACATTGGACCATAATAGGTAAATTAAAAAAATTCAAGTTCTTAGACCACATTCTTTCTGTGTCAGAAACCTATGTTGTGTCAAATATTTAATAACAATCCAAATTCAGAGCTGTATCAAGCTTGAATGTTGTGTCCATACTTGCCCCAACTGTTCAGGGTTCGACCTCTGCGGTCGTATCAAGCTGCGCCCCAGCGAAGCATTTTATTTCAATCATTTTCGCGTTTTTCTATACACTATGAACATACATATACTATAAAATAAAGTGTATTTGCTTTTTACTATCAATTCCAAGTTTACTATCCACATTGGTCACTGATATATTATATAGAGACTCTCTATATGTATTATCATAGTATACAGAAAAACGTGAAAATAATTGTCCTGTCCCCAAGTACTTATGAAAATTATGTGTAATTTTAAAACAGTACTAAACGGAAGTCTTGTTTATGACTTAAAAGTCCCTCCGATGACGGAAATAATTTCTGGACGCCTTTATTTTCGTTTTCCTCCCAAAATAACCCAAACTGAATAATCATAAGCGAGGATGACAAATGCGACTATGCATGGTACCTATTGGACACAGAGGCAAAATGATTAATTTATTGTGGAAGGAGGAGAAGCGACACATAAAATGAAGTCTTCTCATTTAATAGGATAGATATGTGTAAAGTTATAATATCAACATCCAATAAGAGCAACAGTTCTTTTTGCAAAATTTTTTGAAAAATTGCATGTCATCGAAATTTGGAAAGGTTTTGATATCTTAACCTATCAAGATAAAAACAAGGAGATGTGGTATGATATCAATTGAGACAACTATTCATTATGCAGAGACCAAATGACATATCTGTGATAATTACAACATCCCTATGGCCTGATTAAATTACAACCTGTATGATTAAACCTGAGCTAAACAAATAGAATTTACATACTTGTACATGTATTAATGACCAATTTATATAACGCAAAAAATTTTTGCGGTCGTATATTGGTATGACGTTGTCGTCGTCCGAAGACACATTGGTTTTCGCACTCTAACTTTAGGTTAAGTGTATGGATCTTTATGAAATTGTACTACAAGGTTCCATATCACAAAGGGAAAGCTGGAATTGAGTTTGGGGGTAATTGCCCAAAACGTTTAGGAATAAGGGGCCAAAAAGGGGCTAAAAATAAGCATTTTTCTAGTTTCCAGACAATAACTTGTGTTCAAGTGTATGGATCTCTCTGAAATTGTACTGCAAGGTACCATACCACAAAAGGAAGGCTAGGATTGATTGTGGGGGTAATTGCCTCAAAATATTAGGAATAAGGAGCCAATAAGGGGCAAAAAACAAGCATTTTTCTAGTTTCAGGACAATAACTTGTGTGTAAGTGTATGGATCTTTATGAAATTGTACTACAAAGTTCCATATCACAAAGGGAAAGCTGGGTTTGAGATTGGGGGTAATTGCCCTAAACGTGTCTGAATTTGGGGCCAAAAAACAAGCATTTTTACAGTTTCCAGACAATAACTTGTGTTCAAGTGTATGGATCTCTCTGAAATTGTACTGCAAGGTACCATACCACAAAGGGAAGGCTGGGATTGAGTTTGGGGGTGATGAATCATAAAGGGGTTAAAAAAATTGGGGGGGGGGGGGATATTTTTTTCCTTTTTTTCCTCATTTTTTATACGACCGCAAAAAGATTTTGTGGTCGTATATTGGTATGACGTTGGCGTCGTCGTCGTCCGGCGTCGTCGTCGGCGTCGTCCGGCGTCGTCGTCCGAATACCATTGGTTTTCGCACTCTAACTTTAGTTTAAGTGAATGGAGCTTTTTGAAATTTTACCATAAGGTTAAATACCACAAAAGGAAGGTTGGGCTTGATTTTGGGGGTTATGGTACCAACAGTTAAGGAATTAGGGGCCAAAAAGGGGCCAAAAATAAGCATTTTCTAGTTTCCAGACAATAACTGTGGAACGGTGTATGGATCTCTCTGAAATTATACTACAAGTTTCCATACCACAAAGGGATGGTTAGGATTTGCTTTGGGGGGTTATGGCTCAAACCGTTTAGGAATTAGGGGCAAAAAAGGGGGAAAAACAAGGTTGTCCTGGTTAATGGACAAATACTTTAGTACAAAACATAATTTAAAGCAGTGTAAGGGAGATAAATCAAATACATCATTGAAATTATCTCCCTTACACTGCTTTTAAATTATGTATAAAGTAATGGTTAATGAACAATAAAGATAATTTAAAACAGTGTAAGGGAGGTAATCCAAATACAACGTTTTGGTTACTTCCCTTACACTGCTTTTAAATTATGTTTAAAGAAATGCATATTTATAAAGGAAGACCAGTAAAAATATCTGCAAATGTTGCATCATTTTTTTTTACAAAAAAATCCATATGAAAGATTTGACACTATATTTTTAATTCTATTATAAAATAGATTAAGTTAGCACTATGGTAAATTTAAATGGGTAATTATGGTTGCCAACTCCATTGGAAATTTGAATTGAGATTATGACCATATCTTGAGGGAAAGAATTTTTGGGGGAAAAAAGGGGGGGGATAAGAAGAAATTGTGGGGGGTCAATTTTTTCTCATTTCAGATTTCAGAAATTAAAAAGAATTATTCTTCAAATATTATTTTTTTTTCAAATTTCAAATATTGAAAAATTTCAAGAAGTAATCTTTAATTGCACAGTATGGCGCATTAGATTTGTAAAATCTTTGATCACATTTATTTATTTGTTATGCCGAATCTAACAGTGTATTTAGATTTTTAATTTTGGGTCCAGTTTTCAAAATGGTCTACATTAAGGTCCAAAGGGTCCAAAATTAAACTTTGTTTGATTTTAGCAAAAATTGAATATATGAGGTTCTTTGATATGCTGAATCTAAACATGTATTTAGATTTTTTATTTGTGGACCCCGTTATCAAATTGGTTCATACTGAGGTCAAAAGGGTCCAAAATTAAACTTTGTTTGATTTCATCTAAAATTGAATTATTGGGGCTCTTTGATATTCCAAATCTAACCGTGTATTTAGATTTTTAATTTTGGGTCCTGTTTTTTAAATTGGTCTACATTAAGGTCCGAAGGGTCCAAAATTAAACTTAGTTTGATTTAAACAAAAATTGAATTCTTGGGGTTCTTTGATATGCTGAATCTAAACATGTATTTAGATTTTTGATTATGGGCCCAGTTTTCAAGTTGGTCCAAATTGGGGTCCAAAATTAAACTTTGTTTGATTTCAACAAAAATTGAATATATGAGGTTCTTTGATATGCTGAATCTAACCATGTATTTAGATTTTTTATTTGTAGGCCCCGCTATCAAATTGGTTCATATTGAGGTCAAAAGGGTCCAAAATTAAACTTTGTTTGATTTCATCAAAAATTGAATTATTGGGGTTCTTTGATATGCCAAATCTAACCGTGTTTTTAGATGTTTAATTTGGGTCCCGTTTTTTAAATTCTTCATTGAGGTCCAAAGGGTCCAAAATTAAACTTAGTTTGATTTTAACAAAAAATGAATTCTTGGGGTTCTTTGATATGCTGAATCTAAACATGTGTTTAGATTTTTGATTATGGGCCCAGTTTTCAAGTTGGTCCAAGTTGGGGTCCAAAATTAAACTTTGTTTGATTTCAACAAAAATTGAATATATGGGGTTCTTTGATATGCTGAATCTAACCATGAATTTAGATTTTTTATTTGTGGGCTCCGCTATCAAATTGGTTCATATTGAGGTCAAAAGGGTCCAAAATTAAACTTTGTTTGATTTCATCTAAAATTGAATTATTGGGGTTCTTTGATATGCCAAATCTAACCGTGTATTTAGATTTTTAATTTTGGGTCCTGTTTTTTAAATTGGTCTACATTAAGGTCCAAAGGGTCCAAAATTAAACTTAGTTTGATTTTAACAAAAATTGAATTCATGGGGTTCTTTGATATGCTGAATCTAAACATGTGTTTAGATTTTTGATTATGGGCCCAGTTTTCAAGTTTGTCCAAGTTGGGGTCCAAAATTAAACTTTGTTTGATTTTAACAAAAATTGAATATATGGGGTTCTTTGATATGCTGAATCTAACCATGTATTTTGATTTTGGACATTGGACCATAATAGGTAAATTAAAAAAATTCAAGTTCTTAGACCACATTCTTTCTGTGTCAGAAACCTATGTTGTGTCAAATATTTAATAACAATCCAAATTCAGAGCTGTATCAAGCTTGAATGTTGTGTCCATACTTGCCCCAACTGTTCAGGGTTCGACCTCTGCGGTCGTATCAAGCTGCGCCCCAGCGAAGCATTTTATTTCAATTATTTTCGCGTTTTTCTATACACTATGAACATACATATACTATAAAATAAAGTGTATTTGCTTTTTACTATCAATTCCAAGTTTACTATCCACATTGGTCACTGATATATTATATAGAGACTCTCTATATGTATTATCATAGTATACAGAAAAACGTGAAAATAATTGTCCTGTCCCCAAGTACTTATGAAAATTATGTGTAATTTTAAAACAGTACTAAACGGAAGTCTTGTTTATGACTTAAAAGTCCCTCCGATGACGGAAATAATTTCTGGACGCCTTTATTTTCGTTTTCCTCCCAAAATAACCCAAACTGAATAATCATAAGCGAGGATGACAAATGCGACTATGCATGGTACCTATTGGACACAGAGGCAAAATGATTAATTTATTGTGGAAGGAGGAGAAGCGACACATAAAATGAAGTCTTCTCATTTAATAGTATAGATATGTGTAAAGTTATAATATCAACATCCAATAAGAGCAACAGTTCTTTTTGCAAAATTTTTTGAAAAATTGCATGTCATCGAAATTTGGAAAGGTTTTGATATCTTAACCTATCAAGATAAAAACAAGGAGATGTGGTATGATATCAATTGAGACAACTATTCATTATGCAGAGACCAAATGACATATCTGTGATAATTACAACATCCCTATGGCCTGATTAAATTACAACCTGTATGATTAAACCTGAGCTAAACAAATAGAATTTACATACTTGTACATGTATTAATGACCAATTTATATAACGCAAAAAATTTTTGCGGTCGTATATTGGTATGACGTTGTCGTCGTCCGAAGACACATTGGTTTTCGCACTCTAACTTTAGGTTAAGTGTATGGATCTTTATGAAATTGTACTACAAGGTTCCATATCACAAAGGGAAAGCTGGAATTGAGTTTGGGGGTAATTGCCCAAAACGTTTAGGAATAAGGGGCCAAAAAGGGGCTAAAAATAAGCATTTTTCTAGTTTCCAGACAATAACTTGTGTTCAAGTGTATGGATCTCTCTGAAATTGTACTGCAAGGTACCATACCACAAAAGGAAGGCTAGGATTGATTGTGGGGGTAATTGCCTCAAAATATTAGGAATAAGGAGCCAATAAGGGGCAAAAAACAAGCATTTTTCTAGTTTCAGGACAATAACTTGTGTGTAAGTGTATGGATCTTTATGAAATTGTACTACAAAGTTCCATATCACAAAGGGAAAGCTGGGTTTGAGATTGGGGGTAATTGCCCTAAACGTGTCTGAATTTGGGGCCAAAAAACAAGCATTTTTACAGTTTCCAGACAATAACTTGTGTTCAAGTGTATGGATCTCTCTGAAATTGTACTGCAAGGTACCATACCACAAAGGGAAGGCTGGGATTGAGTTTGGGGGTGATGAATCATAAAGGGGTTAAAAAAATTGGGGGGGGGGGGATATTTTTTTCCTTTTTTTCCTCATTTTTTATACGACCGCAAAAAAATTTTGTGGTCGTATATTGGTATGACGTTGGCGTCGTCGTCGTCGTCGTCGCTGTCCGGCGTCGTCGTCCGAATACCCATTGGTTTTCGCACTCTAACTTTAGTTTAAGTGAATGGAGCTTTTTGAAATTTTACCATAAGGTTAAATACCACAAAAGGAAGGTTGGGCTTGATTTTGGGGGTTATGGTATCAACAGTTAAGGAATTAGGGGCCAAAAAGGGGCCAAAAATAAGCATTTTCTAGTTTCCAGACAATAACTGTGGAACGGTGTATGGATCTCTCTGAAATTATACTACAAGTTTCCATACCACAAAGGGATGGTTAGGATTTGCTTTGGGGGGTTATGGCTCAAACCGTTTAGGAATTAGGGGCAATAAAGGGGGAAAAACAAGGTTGTCCTGGTTAATGGACAAATACTTTAGTACAAAACATAATTTAAAGCAGTGTAAGGGAGATAAATCAAATACATCATTGAAATTATCTCCCTTACACTGCTTTTAAATTATGTATAAAGTAATGGTTAATGAACAATAAAGATAATTTAAAACAGTGTAAGGGAGGTAATCCAAATACAACGTTTTGGTTACTTCCCTTACACTGCTTTTAAATTATGTTTAAAGAAATGCATATTTATAAAGGAAGACCAGTAAAAATATCTGCAAATGTTGCATCATTTTTTTTTACAAAAAAATCCATATGAAAGATTTGACACTATATTTTTAATTCTATTATAAAATAGATTAGGTTAGCACTATGGTAAATTTAAATGGGTAATTATGGTTGCCAACTCCATTGGAAATTTGAATTGAGATTATGACCATATCTTGAGGGAAAGAATTTTTGGGGGGAAAAAGGGGGGGGGGATAAGAAGAAATTGTGGGTGGTCAATTTTTTCTCATTTCAGATTTTAGAAATTAAAAAGAATTATTCTTCAAATATTATTTTTTTTTCAAATTTCAAATATTGAAAAATTTCAAGAAGTAATCTTTAATTGCACAGTATGGCGCATTAGATTTGTAAAATCTTTGATCACATTTATTTATTTGTTATGCCGAATCTAACAGTGTATTTAGATTTTTAATTTTGGGTCCAGTTTTCAAAATGGTCTACATTAAGGTCCAAAGGGTCCAAAATTAAACTTTGTTTGATTTTAGCAAAAATTGAATATATGAGGTTCTTTGATATGCTGAATCTAAACATGTATTTAGATTTTTTATTTGTGGACCCCGTTATCAAATTGGTTCATACTGAGGTCAAAAGGGTCCAAAATTAAACTTTGTTTGATTTCATCTAAAATTGAATTATTGGGGCTCTTTGATATTCCAAATCTAACCGTGTATTTAGATTTTTAATTTTGGGTCCTGTTTTTTAAATTGGTCTACATTAAGGTCCGAAGGGTCCAAAATTAAACTTAGTTTGATTTAAACAAAAATTGAATTCTTGGGGTTCTTTGATATGCTGAATCTAAACATGTATTTAGATTTTTGATTATGGGCCCAGTTTTCAAGTTGGTCCAAATTGGGGTCCAAAATTAAACTTTGTTTGATTTCAACAAAAATTGAATATATGAGGTTCTTTGATATGCTGAATCTAACCATGTATTTAGATTTTTTATTTGTAGGCCCCGCTATCAAATTGGTTCATATTGAGGTCAAAAGGGTCCAAAATTAAACTTTGTTTGATTTCATCAAAAATTGAATTATTGGGGTTCTTTGATATGCCAAATCTAACCGTGTTTTTAGATGTTTAATTTGGGTCCCGTTTTTTAAATTCTTCATTGAGGTCCAAAGGGTCCAAAATTAAACTTAGTTTGATTTTAACAAAAAATGAATTCTTGGGGTTCTTTGATATGCTGAATCTAAACATGTGTTTAGATTTTTGATTATGGGCCCAGTTTTCAAGTTGGTCCAAGTTGGGGTCCAAAATTAAACTTTGTTTGATTTCAACAAAAATTGAATATATGGGGTTCTTTGATATGCTGAATCTAACCATGAATTTAGATTTTTTATGTGTGGGCTCCGCTATCAAATTGGTTCATATTGAGGTCAAAAGGGTCCAAAATTAAACTTTGTTTGATTTCATCTAAAATTGAATTATTGGGGTTCTTTGATATGCCAAATCTAACCGTGTATTTAGATTTTTAATTTTGGGTCCTGTTTTTTAAATTGGTCTACATTAAGGTCCAAAGGGTCCAAAATTAAACTTAGTTTGATTTTAACAAAAATTGAATTCATGGGGTTCTTTGATATGCTGAATCTAACCATGTATTTTGATTTTGGACATTGGACCATAATAGGTAAATTAAAAAAATTCAAGTTCTTAGACCACATTCTTTCTGTGTCAGAAACCTATGCTGTGTCAAATATTTAATAACAATCCAAATTCAGAGCTGTATCAAGCTTGAATGTTGAGTCCATACTTGCCCCAACTGTTCAGGGTTCGACCTCTGCGGTCGTATCAAGCTGCGCCCCAGCGAAGCATTTTATTTTCTTTAAAATTTTCCATTTTAAGTTGGTTATTTTTTATTTATATATAAAGGCAAATAATAATGATATGGTTTGATTTCATCAAAAATTGAAATATTGGGGTTCTTTGATATGCTGAATTTAACCGTTTGGTCCCGTTTTCAAATTGGTCTACATTAAGGTCCATAGGGTCCAAAATTAAACTTAGTTTGATTTTAACAAAATTTGAATTCTTGGGGTTCTTTGATATGCTGAATCTAACCTTGATGTATTTAGATTTTGGATATTGGACCATAATAGGTAAATTAAAAAATTTTAAGTTCTTAGACCACATTCATTCTGTGTCAGAAACCTATGCTGTGTCAAATATTTAATCACAATCCAAATTCAGAGCTGTATCAAGCTTGAATGTTGTGTCCATACTTGCCCCAACTGTTCAGGGTCCGACCTCTGCAGTCGTATCAAGCTGTGCCCAGCGGAGCATTTTATTATATATTAATACTTAATATAACTTATTAAGTGATTTACTTTAAATATTATTTTCCTCTTTCTGATTTACAGGCAAAATAAGGCAGATTTAAGTAGTAGATGACAGATTCCAACAGGTCCATTTGGTCATCACTCAGACAGTGTTTACATAGAATAGGAAATCACTCAAATCAAGATCAGTATGTTGATGTCAAAAGCAGAAATATTTCATGAAATACTTATATATACTGAATAACAACTTGTATATATAGTGAATAATTGTTAAGTTTCAGATCTTATCAACTACATTAGATCATAGAGGAATGATCTTTTGTCAGTTGATACATCATTTTAAGTGACAAAGTCCACACTATGATTTTAGTCACCTTGAGTATCATTCTATACATGAATGTGAAGACTTTATTTATGCAGTTTCTGAAAAATGTTCATTTAATTTTTCTTAAAAAAAAGCTTTAAAGTATTTTGTTAAAAGGATTTTAGTTTTCACTGTACATGTTATGAATAAGAAATATACTTGCTATTCTGATAAAAGGAAGCTTTTAGGTAAAATAGATAGGAATGGTCTTTGCATACAATAACAGGAATAACAGTCAACAGATTATCATCCCCTCTCCCAACTAAATTTTAGAGGGACCTATAGTAGCTTTTGTCTGTTTTTTGTCCCTGTGATGTTTTGTTAGCAACTACAAATAAAAGAAAAATAAGTTTTGTCAGTTGATGCATCTTGTTAACTGAAAAAGGTTCACACTAAAATGAAGTCATCATGACCTTTATTTTACACATAAATGACTTCAGATAAGTTTTATGAAAATGTCTTTAAAACACATGTAAATATAGAATTGATTAATGTGGGAAATTATTGTCATTTGTATTGATAGGATTTTACAGCATTATAATGTTGGAGTATTATCATTCAGAGTGTATTTTTCAGAATTGATGAAATGGCTTACAAGGCAGTGGCAAACAGTAAAGGAGACAATCCAAACTATGTAGAACAGTGGGTTTCTAAAGTCCTTCACTTTTCTTCACAGTATGATTCTCAAAGGTAAACTATCATTCAAATATATCCCTTTTTTCCTATTATTCCATGTGTGCCTTGATGTAGCCAGCACTTGGCTGTTATGACAATCAAATGCTTATCAAAATCAAGTATAATTATTGTAAACTGATGCTAAAAATTGTTATAAACATATGTATTTCATTGCAAGTGACCACCTAAATATCCCAATCTTCTGTGTTTTATTACAGTTGGCCAGCATCTTGTGTTGAAGGACAACCTAGGGTGTACCCAAAGTATGGTGATATAGCTGGAGCTTGGGCTCAAAAACAAAAAGATGCTAATCAGTTTATTGAGGTAAAAGTTTCTATAGATGTTACTAGTAATCTATAATAAGGTAATGTGTTAATTGTATGATATTGGTTGTGAGATTCCTATAGAAACATACATTTATATACTGGTATTTTGAGAAAACTGCACAGTTCACAGTATTTGACAAACACTTTTGAGGGTAAAAGATGTTTATAATATTATTAACAGCACCAATAATTTGAATAAAAATAATAATAAGTTGTTATTTGCAATTTTTGGAAAAAGGTTCTAATGCTTTTATCAACCTTAAAATGTTACAGAATAAGTTTCAAATTAATAAGTTAAAACTCATGTTTTAAAATATTAGTATGCAGTACTTCTGAAAATGCATTATATCAAGTTGTATTAATCGATCAACAATGGTATTAATTTACTCCTAATAACAACCATAATAGCCTTATTTCTTGTATCAAACATAAGCTGAAAGAACTTGGTAAGGAATTTGTTTTTGTCCCGGCTGATAAGGCTGCCAATAATATCATTATTGTTTGAGGTAAATTTTATATTGAGGTTCACAAAGGAAATCACAAATTCACCAACATTCCAACTGACTCAATTTTTGGAAAATGACATTGTTAACAAACATAAATTTTCAGCTACCTCTTTACAAGCAGACAAGAATAACATGAAAGTTTCAACTAAGTACTGGCTCTTGAAGCTGCACAAAACACCTTTTAAATATAGATTTATTTCGTCTTCAAGCCATTGTTCAAATACATAACTGTCTATTCTACTTATTAGTACACTTGGTACAATCAAAAACATGGTAATAAGTTTTTCAGATAAGGCCTATGAAAATAGTGGAATTAATTACTTTTGGAGTGTCAAAAGTTTGTTGGAAGTACTTAATAAATTGCATGCTCATATTGGTGCTTTTGAATCTGTTCAAAGTTTTGATTTGTCTTCCCTATATACCACTTTGCCTCATAATCTCATTAAGAAAAAATTCACATACCTAATTTAATTGGCATTTAAAAAGTCAGAATGTGAATATATACGTTCAAACTCTTTTAGGTCATTTTCAGTAACAACAAACAAAAGGACTATGTCAATTGAACCTGTTTTGATATGATAACTGCACCTGAATTTTTACTAGATAACAATTTTGTTTGCTGTGTATATCGCCAAATTATCGGAATTCCAATGTGGACTAACTGTGCGCCACTTATTGCATACCTGTTTCTGTATTGTTACAAATTACAATTTATGACTAAAATCAGCAAAGACCAATCAAAAACAACAACTGATACAAAAATTTAATAACACTTTTGGATATTTGGATGATATATTGGCTCTCAATAATGATGACTTCAGTATGTACACTAAAGAGATTTATCCTGTTGAACTTACTTTAAATAAAGCTAATATTAACAATTAACACTGCCCTTTCCTGGATTTTGATACCTATATCTTTAACGATGATTTTTCATTTCCTATTGTTAATTATCCATTTTGAGATAGTGACATTCACTTGGCACAATCTGATGGTGTTTATATATCTCAACTTGTTTGATTTGCTCGTGTATGTAACAACGTATTTGATTTTAACGAAAGAAATCTCTGTATTACTGAAAAATTGTTACACCAGGGTTTTCGATATCACAAACTTGTCAAAACTTTTACTAAATTTTATCAATGGTACAAGGACATCATTCGTAAATATAAATCAACGTGCAGACATCTTATACGTTCAGGTATTTTACACCCCGTCTTTTATGTTAATTTCTATACAAAGCACAAAAATGTCGTCATTCACCTCAAAACCTATCCAAACCTTTAAACAGACTTATTCAGAAGGGATATAGTTACGATACTGTTGTCAAGTCATAAAAGATGGCATTTTTATACGACCGCAAAAATTGAAAATTTTTTGGTCGTATATTGGTATGACGTTGGCGTCGTCGTCGTCGTCGTCGTTGTCGTCGTCGTCGTCGTCGTCCGGCGTCGTCTGGCGTCGTCCGAAGACACATTGGTTTTCGCACTCTAACTTTAGTTTAAGTGAATGGATCTCCATGAAATTTTACCATAAGGTTCAATACCATGAAAGGAAGGTTGGGATTGATTTTGGGGGTTATGGTACCAACAGTTAAGGAATTAGGGGCCAAAAAGGGGCCAACAATAAGCATTTTTGTAACTTCCAGACAATAACTTGTGTGTAAGTGTATGGATCTCTCTGACATTGTACCACAAGGTTCCATATCACAAAGGGAAGGCTGTAATTGATTTTGGGGGTAATTGCCTCAAAATGTTAGGAATTAGGGGCCAAAAAAGGGGCAAAAAACAAGCATTTTTCTAGTTTCATGACAATAACTTGTGTGTAAGTGTTTGGATATTTCTGAAATTGTACTACAAGGTTCCATATCACAAAGGGAAAGCTGGAATTGAGTTTGGGGGTAATTGCCCGAAACGTTTAGGAATTGGGGGCCAAAAAGGGGCCAAAAATAAGCATTTTTCTAGTTTCCAGACAATAACTTGTGTTCAAGTGTATGGATCTCTCTGAAATTGTACTGCAAGGTACCATACCACAAATGGAAGGCTGAGATTGAGTTTGGGGGTGATGATTCATAAGGGGGTTCAAAAAATTTTGGGGGGGGGATTTTTTTTTTTCTTTTTTTCCTTTTTTTTTTCTTTTAAAATTTTCCATTTTAAGTTGGTTATTTCTGATTTATATTTAAAAGCAAATAATAATGATATGGTAGGAGATACACACCAAACAGGATGTGTAAATTATTATATAATAAGTATTGTGCAATAGCAAGAAATTTTCAATTGCACAGTATTGCACAATAGCAAGAAATCTTCAATTGCACAGTATTGCGCAATAGCAAGAAATCTTCAATTGCACAGTATTGCGCAATAGCAAGAAATCTTCAATTGCACAGTATTGCGCAATAGCAAGAAATATCCAATAGCACAATATTGCGCAATAGCAAGAAATTGTCAATTGTACAGTATTGCGCAATAGCAAGAAATAATCAATTGCACAGTATTGTGCAAAAGAAGATACTTCGTATAAATTGCTTATTTCTTGATCAATTTCAATGGGGATTTATTCTTGAATTCTTGGGGTTCTTTAATATGCTGAATCTAACCGTGTATTAAGTTTTTGGATTTTGGGCCCTGTTTTTAAATTGGTCCACATTGAGGTCCAAAGGGTCCAAAATTTAACTTTGTTTGATTTCATCAAAAATTGAATTATTGGGGTTCTTTGATATGCCGAATCTAACCGTGTATTTAGATTCTTAATTTTTGGTTCTGTTTTCAAATTGGTCTACATAAAGGTCCAAAGGGTCCAAAATTAAACTTAGTTTGATTTCAACAAAAATTGAATATATGGGGTTCTTTGATATGCTGAATCTAACCATGTATTTAGATTTTTGATTATGGGCCCAGTTTTCAAGTTGGTCCAAATCGGGGTCCAAAATTAAACTTTGTTTGATTTCAACAAAAATTGAATATATGGGGTTCTTTGATATGCTGAATCTAACCATGTATTTAGATTTTTGATTATGGGCCCAGTTTTCAAGTTGGTCCAAATCGGGGTCCAAAATTAAACTTTGTTTGATTTCAACAAAAATTGAATATATGGGGTTCTTTGATATGCTGAATCTAACCATGTATTTAGATTTTTGATTGTTGGGCCCCGTTATCAACTTTGTCCACATTGAGATCAAAAGGGTCCAAAATTAAACTTTGTTTGATTTCATCAAAAATTGAATATATGGGGTTCTTTGATATGCTGAATCTAACCATGTATTTAGATTTTTGATTATGGGCCCAGTTTTCAAGTTGGTCCAAATCGGGGTCCAAAATTAAACTTTGTTTGATTTCAACAGAAATTGAATATATGGGGTTCTTTGATATGCTGAATCTAACCATGTATTTAGATTTTTGATTATTGGCCCAGTTTTCAAGTTGGTCCAAATCGGGGTCCAAAATTAAACTTTGTTTGATTTCAACAAAAATTGAATATATGGGGTTCTGTAATATGCTGAATCTAACCGTGTATTAAGTTTTTGGATTTTGGGCCCTGTTTTAAAATTGGTCCACATTGAAGTCCAAAGGGTCCAAAATTTAACTTTGTTTGATTTCATCAAAAATTGAATTATTGGGGTTCTTTGATATGCCGAATCTAACCGTGTATTTAGATTCTTAATTTTTGGTTCCGTTTTCAAATTGGTCTACATAAAGGTCCAAAGGGTCCAAAATTAAACTTAGTTTGATTTTAACAAAAATTGAATTTTTAGGGTTCTTTGATATGCTGAATCTAAACATGTATTTAGATTTTTGATTATGGGCCCAGTTTTCAAGTTGGTCCAAATCGGGGTCCAAAATTAAACTTTGTTTGATTTCAACAAAAATTGAATATATGGGGTTCTTTGATATGCTGAATCTAACCATGTATTTAGATTTTTGATTTTTGGGCCCTGTTATCATTTTTGTCCACATTGAGATCAAAAGGGTCCAAAATTAAACTTTGTTTGATTTCATCAAAAATTGAATTCTTGGGGTTCTTTGATATGCTGAATCTAACCATGTATTTAGATTTTGGATATTGGACCATAATAGGTGAATGTCCAATTTAAAATTTTTAAGTTCTTAGACCACATTCATTCTGTGTCAGAAACCTATGCTGTGTCAAATATTTAATCACAATCCAAATTCAGAGCTGTATCAAGCTTGAATGTTGTGTCCATACTTGCCCCAACTGTTCAGGGTTCGACCTCTGCGGTCGTATCAAGCTGCGCCCTGCGGAGCATTTTATTTGGAATTAATATTGAGGGGCCTGATGGGGGGGGGAGGGGTCTCATCACGATTCACGAGTTGATTTTTTTGTCAATCACGATTCACAGAAAATAAATTTCCATGATCACGGATCACGAAAATATAAAAAAAATATAAATCTGTAGAAAAACGGATCACGATAGCGAAAATGCGCCGATCATGAAGAACGAAAATAACCCATCAGGCCCCTCAATATTGATTCACTCATAAGGTTTTTGCATTGGAAATAAAAACATTTATTCTAAATCAAGTTATTGGTATGATACAGGTTATGTTCTTCTCGTATAATTTATGATGGCATGATACTAAACCCCTAACGGGAAGGATTGTGCTTGATTTTCATATGATGAAGACAATCTTTTGATCAGTTTAATTGAGGTCTGGAGTTGGCATGTCAGTAACTGCTAGTAGTCCTTTGTATATTTATGTTGATCATTGTCATTTTGCTTACAGTAGTTTCTTCTATTACTTATTCTAATGTCAGATTCAGACTCCTTTTAAACTTAGTTTTACTGTGCGTATTGCAGTGTGTTTGTTAATTCCACATTGGCTAGATGTTTAGGGGGAGGGTTGAGATCTCACAAAACATGTTTAACCCTGCCACCTTTATGTGCCTGTCTCAAGTCAGGAACCTCTAGCCCTTGTAAGTTTTGTGTGTTTTTTAATTAAAATTCATTTATATGTTTCTAAGTTTAGTGTGGCATCCATTTTGCTGAACTAGTATACATCATTGTTTAGGGGCCTGCTGAAGCCTGCCTCTGGGTGAGGGACTTTCTCGCTGGGTTGAAGACCCATTGGTGGCTTTAGGCTGTTTTCAGTTCCATGGGTGGGTTGTCGTCTCTTTAACACGTTCCCTGTTTCCATTCTCAATTCTAAATGAACAAAATAATTTCTTAATTTATAGTATACTCAAAATTGATTCATTCTTTTTTCATGTGTTGTTTCCACTTTTGTTAAAGGACATTTATCTTTTTTAAGATTGAATATGAGGAGAAGATCTACATTGAGAAAATAGAAGTTTATGAGACATACCATGCTGGAATGGTTAAGTGTATAAAGGCAAAACATCCAAATGGAAGTTGGGTTAAAGTATGGAATACTCCCAAAGTCAGTTGTATTACACATAGTAGGATATTTTCACCAGAGTTTCAGGTAAAATTGTAAAATATTGGCTAATTTTGATTAAAAGATAAGTCTAGATAATCAAAGTAAATCAGAGTGATATTCTTTAAAAAAAATCAATATTATAAGGTTACCAATATTACAGTGTAATGATAAATTGAGATTATATTTTTTACATGCACACATTTGTTCATCAGTCAAATACAAACAGCAAGTTAATAAGAGTTTATCTCTTTGGTTATTGTCAAAAGAACAGCAATAAAAACACAGTTTCAAAGCTTTAATTGCTGTTTGTAGTCTTTGAAGAGATTTATTTGTGTCTCATGTACATCCACCATTTATCCTTTCATAACTATCTTATTGATTTCATAATAGTGTGCTTCCCTTTTGTGCATCAGTTTGGAGGTTTGTGTCAAATGTAGAAATTAAAACTGTTATTTCTCCACCAAGCATGTAGCATTCAGAAGAATGAACAAATAAGGACCAGTATCAGAATAATAAACAAATAAGAGTCAGTATCAGAATAATGTGTCAGGGAAGGGTGGCTAATTACCTCGTGAGCTAGCATTTTAAAATCCATTTCATTGCATCAAGTCAAAGCAGAGTATATTCCATTGACTTGAAATTTTATCTGAATATGCATATAAGAATTGCCACTAGACATTTAGCAGCCATCAATCAGTCAATCTTATCCGTTCTTTTCCTTCTTATAACACAAGTGTGTATGTGTATTTGTTGTTATTTAGAAAGTACGAAAATACATGCACCATAATAATAATGCTCATTTAAAATTGTCATTTCGTGAAAACCTTAAGATTTGTTTGGTTCTAATCATGAAAATTTTGTTTTTTAACATTTTACAGAGACTGTCTTTCCAGAGCAATTTACTAAGGATAGAGGTTGATTGTACAGTAGCCAGTAACTGGTGTGAGATTGATGCTGTAAAAATATCTGGAACAAAATTCAACTTTGGTAATTTCATATCATACATATGTGTATATGTTGTTGTTTTATATGTTGTTTTTTTTTGTTTTTTTTTAATGCTTATTTCAGATCTTTACACATCCCTGTTGTAATTTTTTGGGGTAATGCTAGCATGAAACACAATCAAAAGCCATATTCAATTGTCTTGATATCTAACTCGCAACTGTAAAGCTGGCTAACAAATGATCCATATATTGAGACCTTCTACATAGATCACTCATCTATCACATATAAGCTACCAATTCTCTATAATCAAGGATCTAAAAGTAAATACATAAAATAGAAATATTGATAGGTTGGTGTACACAGTTTTTCCTTTCAGTATGACATCATTCTTACTGTGACTTAACTGTAAGTGTTGCTCTCCACCTATTGCAGTTTATTCAAAACTCTGACCAAATTGCAATTTGTTTTATCAAACCAAACTGTCCAACTGGTCAGAAATTTTAACAAACTGCTGTAGAAAAACACAGTCAAGTGGTGAAAGTGCAAGGTGATAAAATAAAGTATACTTACAATCCTATAAGACTTTAATATCCACTTTACTACCTATCACCTTTAGCATGACAATTACAATAACATTTGTATAGAAATTGATAGACTGATTTTTCATAATATCATTGAAGTGGAATTAAAGTCTTTTAGGATTGTTAGTATGCTTATTTTATCACCTTGCACTTTCACCACTTGACTCTGTTTTCTACAGCAGTTTATTAAAATTTCTGACCAATTGAACAGTTTGGTTTGATAAAATAAATTGCAATTTGGTCAGAATTTAAAATAAACTGTAATAGGTGAAGAGCAACACTTACAGTCAAGGCTCAGTAAAAAAATAAAAAAATTTAAAAGTATAATTGATCAATTTATGTGGTATTCTATTGTAGTGTTGCCGCCTTCTCCAGCTGATATTACCAATGACCTGGCCAAGCTTGTAAACAATTCACAGTACAGTGATGTGTCGTTTAATGTAAATGGGAATATATTCCATGGTCACCGTGCTATCATGTCTGTAAGATCAGAATATTTCAGAGCTATGTTTAGTTTTGATGGTACCAGTGGAAAGGTAAAAAACTATGAGCACTTATAGTTGCATACATTGTATAACAGTTAAATCTCGATAAAATTATATGTCAGGATAAATGTACTAAGGGAACAGATTTTTAAAAAAAAAGAACAGAAAAATGAGATGGGACCCAAAATAATTTTCTGAGGGTTATTTTGAAAATATCATTTTAACCCATCAGTATGATATTTTAACAAATTGATATATCTGATAAAATGCTTCAAAATGAAATGGTACAGTTTTACTGGCATCATTTTATCATGTTTCAAATTATGACCTCAAAATTGTCTACGGTCACTTGTTACTAACATATGTTCATGAAAAAACTGTTAAAAATTTAATTTGGGAGTCCTAGAATTCCATTTACCACAAGTAGAGGCCAGAAATGACAAAATTTATATAGCCTCCTAGCTTGATATCAGTTAAATATTAAAACTTTGAGGAAGATGTATAAGAACCATTTTTTTTTACCCCTTAATTTAAGTGTTTTTTCAACAACAATTTTAGTGTCTTTTTAAGCTAGTACATTGTATCTTGAGATATACTGTAGTTTCCTTAGTTTTGACAATTTGAATACCTTTCCTTTTTAGAATTCAAACAGGGTTTCCTAAAGCATATAATATGCCTGTGCAGTTACCACTTCTACATTTGAAAATGCCTGTACCAAGTCAGGAATATGACAGTTGTTGTCCATTCGTTTGATGTGTTTTATCATTTGATTTTGCCATTTGATTAGGGACTTTCCGTTTTGAATTTTCCTCGGAGTTCAGTATTTTTGTTACTTTTTTATAACCCCCGCCGTAGCGGTGGGGGCATTAAGTTTTACCCTTGTTTGTCTGTACGTACGTACGTCCCAAAATTGGTTTCCGTTCTCTAACTTGAGTTTGCCTCAACCAAATGTCATGAAACTTATACACAATGCTTATTACAACAAAACACAGATCTAGTTTGAATTTTGGTGGCGTTACTTTAACCGTTCTAGAGTTATGCCCCTTTATAAATAGAAAAAGTTCAAAATATTTAGTTTCTGTTCTCTAACTTAAGTTTGCCTCAACCAAATGTTATGAAACTTATACACAATGCTTATTACCACAAAACACAGATCAGGTTTGAATGTTGGTGGCGTCACTTTAACCATTCTAGAGTTATGCCCTTTATAAATGGAAAAATTGCAAAATTTTTATTTTCTTCTAAATATCAAGTAATTTTTAAAATTGGAGTTATCTTCCATTGTCCATGATTATAGTTGAATCAACTACAATCAATGCTTTATACAGTGCAATGTTTAATTTTGACTTCCACTGATAAAACATAGATCAAGTTGAATTTGGGTAGTGTCACTTTAACCATTATTGAGTTATGCCCCTTTATAAATCGAAAGATTGCAAAATTTTTAGTTTCCATTCTGTAACTTAAGTTTGCCCCAACCAAACATTATGCAGCCTATACACAATATTCATTACCACAAAACTAAGATCAAGTACAAATTTTTTGTTTCTGTTTTCTAACTTTAGTTTGCCTCAACCAAATGTTATGAAACTTATACACAATGCTTATTACTACATAATACAGATTAAGTAAGAAATTTGGTGGCGACACTTTTACCATTCTTGAGTTATGTCCCTTTATAAACATAAAAATTGCTGAATTTTTCGTTTCCGTTCTCTAACTTTAGTTTTTCTCAATCAAATGTTATAAAACTTACACACAACCGTTCTAGAGTTATGCGTGTTTACAAATAGGAAAATTGCTGAATTTTTAGTTTCTGTTCTCTACTTAAGTTAGCCTCAACCAAATGTTATGAGACTTACACACAATGCTTATTACAACAAAACTCACATCAAGTTCAAATTTGGGTAGTTCTTTTACAGTTCTTCAGTTATGTCCCTTTATAACTATATGATATGCAAGCAGGGGCATCATCTGTGTCCACATGTGGACACTATCCACATTTATTTTTATATGGCCTTTCAAATCACTAATCATAAGTTTTAAACTTGGCCATTTTAGTCATTGATATGAATAAAAGTAAACATAGAGTTTACATCAATAAGACATCTAGTGGGCAAAATATGGTCCTCAATAGAAAAGTGTCTATACAATATGTCAACCTCTAAGTTGAATATTTGTGAATAAATTGAACAACTATATTTTTATGTTAATACAGTCCTGCTTAGCCATAACATTTTTCTTTTTTTTCAGAATTTATCAGCAACAAATTATGATATATCTGACAAATCCCCTCCGTCATATGAATCACTTTCGAAGTCACATGAGGTAAGATGCTTCGATTTATTTTGTATGTCCAAGTTGTACCTCCATTTAAATGGTGACACTATCTTAATAAATCTTTCAACTTAATGAGGCTCAATTCATTTCCTTTGTACTTTTATTACAATATCAAAGACCCTCGAAAAAAGATTTGGGTTAATTTTGATAATTCTATTTTTGTTGTAAAGGTGTAACCTAAATTATGTGTAAAATAGTAAATTCAATAAGTTAATTGTTTATAAGTTATTGTCCACTATGTACAATTGAGATCAGGATGGTGGTTTTTATTAGTCCCCTACCGACTAAGTCGAAGGGGACTTTAGGTTTGCACTCTGTCCGTCTGTCTGTCTGTCCGTCTGTCTGTCCTTCTGTCAGTCCGGCAAATCAGTTTTCCACACTTTTTTTCTTCATGCTTGAAGATATTGATTTGATATTTGTTATATTGTTTTATCATGACAAGTTACAGATCAGGTTCGAATTTTGTTCCGGTCTGATAATTTTGTGCAGAGGTATGGTCCTTGGACTTAGAAAATTCACTTAAATTATCAGTTTTCTGCACTTTTTTTCGTCATGCTTGAAGATATTGATATTTGTTATATATTTTACACCATGACAAGTTATAGATCAGGTTAGCATTTTGTTCCAGTACAATTAATTTTTAACCGGTAGGGGACTATGTATTGCCATGCAATACTCTCAGAATGCTTGTTTTTCTCCCTTTTTCGTGACCTTAAAGCAAAGGTACCACATATATATTTTTCAGTTTAAGTGCCAATCTGCCTTAGAATCAAGCAGTGGTGAAAACATGACAAACAAAAACCCACTCAAGTTAACATTAATTTATGTTCAAAATGTATAATGGTGAATGAATATAACATTCATTTCCTTTGCCTGTTCTGGTAATTCAAGTTATAATTTGGTTGAAATGCACTAGAGATTAACAATTAAGGGGAGCTAACTCTATAATTTGCTATCATTCTAACCAAAAGATATCTAGAGATTTCCTGAATTACCAGACACACAGAAATGAAAGACCTACAATTCTAACTAAGGATGGGGTTACCTTCAAAATAGGATGGTTAGGTTGGTGGATTTTTTCTGGCCATGTTTTGATTTTTTTCAAAATTGCCTGATTCTTACAAAGACTGGCACTTTATTTTACTTACTATAAACATAATGTTATGTATACAACTTTTACTTATCAAAGACCTTTTTTATTTAAATAGAAACCAATTGAGTTAAAGGATGTGGATGAGAGAGCTTTCTCAGTCATATTACATTACATCTACACAAACAAGCTACCACAAAACTGTCAAAGTCAGGTTCTTCCGAAGGTTTGGAGAAGTAAGTGGCTATCATATAAATTTTCTTATCAAGCTAATTGTAAAACCTTTTAATACACTTTTTAAAAGTATTAGTAACCTCAATTAAGTTGAAATTTTGGATTTTCTGAGATATACCAAGATATTGATTTCTTCAGATTGACAGGCCTAAAATTAAATATCACTTATGTTTGGCTTGTCAAAGAAGGATATATTGAATCAAGGAAAGTAATTTTTTTGTCATTTTTTGGGGTTTTTTTTTAGTATTTGTATAGAGATTTAAAAATGAAAAGAACCAGATATAATATAACATTAAGTTAAATTTTCAATGAAATACAATTTTTAACCGCAAATATTTTGCGGTCGTATATTGGTATCACATCGTCGTCGTCCAAAGACACATTGGTTTCCGGACAATAACTTTTGTTTTAGTGTATGGATTTCTATGAAATTTTACCATAAGGTTTATGACCACAAAAGGAAGGTTGGGATTGATTTTGGGGGTTATGGTCCTAACAGTTCAGGAATTAGGGACCAAAATGGGGCCCAAATAAGCATTTTTCTAATTTCCAGACAATAACGTGAAATGGTGTATGGATCTCTCTGAAATTATACCACAAGTTACCATATCACAAAGGGATGGTAAGAATTTGCTTTGGGGGGTTATGGCTCAAACTGTTTAGGAATTAGGGTCAAAAAAGGGGGAAAAACAAGGGTTTCCAGGTTAATGGACAATTACTTAAGTACAAAACATAATTTTAAAGCAGTGTAAGGGAGGTAATTCAAACACATATTGTCAAATTACCTCCCTTACACTGCTTGTAAATTATTCATAAAGAAATGTATTGTCTTTTGGTGATTAGCTGTCAATTTATTTTTAGAAGTAACAATTTTAAAAATGTTTAATAAAGGTAATTTAGTTATAGCCATGATTATGTATGTGAAGGAATTTTATTTTTGTCTCGCCTTGATTGAGTCAAAAAGCGAGACATAGGTATGCTGTTTCCAGCGTCGGTGGCGACCGCGGCATCAACAATGTATTAGTTTGTGATTAGGTCTAGTTCATGGTGAACCACTAGTGGTAGGTCAATGATATTTGGTATACAGTTGTATTAGCATTGGCACATCTCATTTCCATGGAGATTATTTGGCCCTGCCCCCTCAGTCAAGGTCTATTGACTTCGAAACTTTGCTTCGTTTTCATGTATTAGTTTGTGATTAGGTCAGTTTATGGGGAACCACTAGTGGTAGGTCAATGATATTTGGTATGCAGTTGTATAAGAATTGGCACATCTCATTTCCATGGAGATTATTTGGCCCTGCCCCCTCATTCATGGTCTATTGACTTTGAAACTTTTGCTTAGTTTTCATGTATTAGTTTGTGATTAGGTCAGTTCAAGGGGAACTGTTAGTGATAGGTCAATGATTATTGGTATGCAGTTGTATAAGCATTAGCACATCACATTTCCATGGAGAATATTTGGTCCAGCCCCCTCAGTCATGGTCTATTGACTTTGAAACTTTTGCTTAGTTTACATGTATTAGTTTGTGATTAGATCAGTTTAAGATGAACGGCTAATGTTAAGTCAATGATATTTGGTATACAAATGTATTGGCATTTGCAAGTCTTGTTTCCATGGATTATATAGCCCCACCCCCTCATCATGGTTCATTGACTTTGAAACTTTTACATAGTTTACAAGTCAATGTTTGTGTTTAGGTTTGTTGAAAGGGAATGACATATGATAAGTCTATGGTATTTGGTATGCAGTTGTATCAGCACTAGCACATCTTATTTTCATGGAGATTGTTTTGCCAGACTTTGAATATTTGCATCACTTACATGTTAAACTATTGCTATTTTAATTTCAACATTTGCTTTATCAAAAGTACAAAAAGGCGAGACATATCTCTGTGTTAACAGTTTATTAGATATTACTATTTAATGTTGCTGATGGAGGCTTTTTAATTTTAAAAAAAGCATTTTTCTAGTTTCCAGACAGTAACTTGTGATTAAGGGTATGGATCTCTCTAAAATTGTACTACAAGGTTCCATACTACAAAGGAAAGACTGCAATTGAGTTTGATGGTTAATGCTAAAAGGGGGATTCAAAAAGTTTGGGGGGAAGGGGGGATTTCCATTTTTTTTTAAAAGGGTTCATATTTTTTTTTTAAATTTTCAAAATTTCAAATTTTTGAAAAGTTTCAAGAAGAAATCTTCAATTTGCACAGTATTGGGCATTAGATTTGTAAGATCTTACTACATTTATTTTGTGTCAGAAACCTATATTATATAAAAAATTTGATCACAATCCAAATTCAGATAGTATCAAGCTTGAATATTGTGTCCAAATTTGCCCCAACTATTCAGGGTTTGACCACTGCGGTCGTATCAGGCTGCGCTCAGCGAAGCATTTTATTTGATAGGCTTTTATAAAGACTTTGACAAAACCATGAAATCAAATATCAATGAAATACAATTTTCCTAAAATCCATGAAAATTGATATCCACATAAAATAAATGAATCCACAGTCTTTCACATTTCCATTTATTCATATTGATCTCTTTGCAGCTGCAGACAGGTTTTCCTTAGATGGTTTGAAGTCATTAGCCATCTTTGAACTGAGTTCAGCATTAACTATACAGAATGTTGTAGAGGTATATGTAGACGTAATTTCTGCACTTCCTATAATAGGTAAGAAATTAGAATGTATAGAAATTGCTCACTATGAAAGGAAAATAATCTATAAAATACTGTACATTTGCCTGAATCAATCTGATATATATCATAAACAAGAAGGCTCAAAATTTAAATCTTATCCTTCTTTTCATGATACTCGTGGTAAGAAAATTTGTTTTTTTCAATGTCATTTTTTCCCCTGAAATTCTGCAACAACTAAAAATCGACAATATTTTGAGGAAGTTTAAGGACACATAAGGCTGTTTATTATATATCTGTTAACAGTTGCTCAAATATGTTAAATTGAGTGAAAAATGGTATTATTGAGAAAGAGGATGTATTTAAGATATCTGGAATTTGTATTCTGAATTCATATTTAACCAAATTTTTTTATCAGACTTGTTATTTAAGGAGTTTTGCCTTTATCTTTCAGAAAGTATCAAAACGATTTGTGAGAATTATATGCAGGAAAATATGGCAGAGGTAGTACGATTACCATCATTTACATCACTACCTCAAGACATGATGTTAGAGCTTATACAGAAAATGACTGAAAAGATGAAGATATAATAAGTTGAATTTATGTAGCACTGTCAAAAGTATGTTTATCCTCATTTCTGAATTAAGCGTATCACCTTTATTTATAATTCCACTGAAGTTGTTTACAATTAGTCATACGTAATTCGTTACATCAGTTTTAAAAGTTGAAGTTTTCTTTTTTCTGTTACTTATTCTTATAAATTTTATATATTTCCACAAATACATTATCATTGAATGTATAATGATAATATTTCTTGAAACATTGTATTAATCATTTTTACTATAGAGAATTTGATATTCAAGCAATTCTTTTTTAATCCATTTTTTTTTAATATGTCTTAAGAAAATATACAGTTTAAGTTTCAGTACTGTAGCACAATCAAAGTTTTTGTATACAATAAAGTTATAAGTTGATATTTATTTTTTGTTATCCTTTATAACAAATATTTTTAGAGCAGTATTGTTTTTATAACTGAACAATGTAAATTTTATCATATGTTAAAAATGGCAGTACATGTTTATTTTTTTGTTTTAATATTATTGCATTTCACCAGTCTAAATGTTTTGTAGATTTAATCTACTTTTTGTTTTCTTTAAAGAAAATATTTATAATTTTGTTGATTGTTAAGTTATGGGCACAACATTGTTATAGATTTAATCTTTCTTTTTAATTATTATGTTTTCATGATCTATAATGATTCATATTAACTGTTAAATAATAACTTCTCTTGCATTTTCAAAATGAACTCCCAGTAAAAAGTAATGATAAATTTTAAAGCAATTAAATCTATTCTAGAAAGTACTTAAGCATTTGAACCTGAACTAATTTTACCTTTCAGGACCTTGTTTAATACATAGACCTTTGTCTTTAATAAAACTTGTTTGATATCTTGTTTTTAAGTTAAGATTTTTAATAAGTAGATTTATGAGGGCTGATCCAAAAAGTCATAACTAATGATTGTAGATGCTAAGAAAACCATTAATGAATACCTGTAAATTATGCATAAAAGCAAATTCTTTAAAAAAAAATAGAGTACATTAATTGACATTTGCAAAGTCATATGTTGGAAGGAATGCTATTTGAATGAACCATTATACAGGCAATTTTGCATAGCAATTCAATGATATTATAAGAATATCAAGTTTTTTCATCAGTCCTCATATTCATCATAACTTTAATGATTGATGCTTGGTGACTATCATGGTAGTTTTATTTTTACATTACTTTTATTTTATACTTCATATACTTTATACTTCTGTGATATATGTGTGTGTGTTAATATGATTGCAAAAATGTTATGTTCACTTTTCCATATATTGTAATATATGTACCATGTTTGATGTACAGGGTTTCCCCTAGGTATTTTTTTATTTTTTCGTCACCTATCTCTTCAGACAGATTATTTTTTAGATAAAGAATCTTTAAAATAAAACTGCATTTTATTGATGTGTGACATTTCTGGTCGTAACCATTTCAGGATTCTTGTGTTTACGGTTTTTCAATTTGTAAACTAGAAGCTCTGATTTGGTACCCATTTCATACTTGTTAAACACTGGTTTTTGGACTGAAATTAATTTTCTTTCATGATATAATTCTCTTATAATCAAACAATAAGACTGAAAAATGAGACAGCTCAAGCCTACTACTAGGGCACCATCATCTCCACACTACACAGTCCTGTAGTAGATACAGGTTTCAGAATTTAAGTTAGAAGAATTGTCCCAATTGACCGCTAAATGCTGTAAGTAGTACAAATGTTTGATTGTCCATTTTTCTGTTTTTCCTAATCGTAAAAAGGTATAAAACATGTGATTGAAACAACATTCTCAATGACCTTTAATAAAGTCTCAAGGTTATAGAGTGAAGACATTTCAATAAGACCAGTACAGTATGATTATCACTTAATTGCTTGATTGGTTATTGTCAGTGGCTGTAACAGTTTTTATAACACCATCAGCTGATTATTGTTTTCCTCTCATTTTCAAATCATGTGACTTACTGCACTTTTATTCAGTAAACTCTGATGAAACATCAGCGATGGAAACCAAAAATCCTTTAAAGTTTTGCCAAATTGTTTTAGTAATTGTTTTTTTTTCTCACCAATTTTTTTTTCATTGTCAGTTGCAAATTAGACAGACAGCGGAAACCCTGTATTAAATAGTGATGGGCACTATATCAGTTAGATTAATAACTTCATATTATATGTATTTAATTGTTGAATTCTTTTTTTCTTCTGGGCATGTCTTTGTTCTTGAATATATTTCTGTTTTAAGTTTTGTGGATAGTTATAATTATAACTTTGTTTAGTATATTTGTTAATATTCTCAGGGCGTATTATCAATCATATTTTTTATAACCTCATTATACACATTATACACATGTACGAGTATTAGTTACTGACACAGTTTATACTTTTGATGTTGTTATTTACTTGATTTTACAAGTTAAATATTTCATGAAATATACTTGTTTGTTATCAGACATTGGTAATCATTGATTAATTTATAAAATTTACCACTACCTTACTATCTGTTTTGTCTTATTTATCTCACTAATAGAAACAGAGGCGGTTTTAGGGGGGGGGCCACTTTTTTGGGAAAAATTTGGTTGATTATATAGGGAATCACTGAAGCATGACTGGAGCGGGCCCCCTCTTAGGCAGTCAGTGGGCCCCCACTTATGAAAATTTCTAGATCCGCCACTGAGAAATGTAGGATATTGATTACAGTCTGCATTTTACATTTTATAATCTGGTTATGAGTTATGCCAGAGACCAAACAATGGAAGGTCAAAAGCATAAATGTGTAAGATGTTTGGAAAAAATTCATAACCAAAAAGCCCTAAGAATGGAAACAAATAAAATTTATAAATTCTTTTCTTATGAACAAGCTGTTTGCATTTGCCATTATTTTTGGAATTATCTTCATCAGGAATACAGTGAGTAGAAAGACTAAAAAATATTGATCTAATACTCTCAGGGGCAGACATTGAATGACACCATTACAGGTGATATGAATGAAGAAGACGAAAGCATTTTCACAAATGACATTTTTATACGACCGCAAAAAAATTTTGCGGTCGTATATTGGTATGACGTTGGCGTCGTCATCGTCGTCATCGTCAAAAGACACATTGGTTTTCTCACTCTAACTTTAGTTTAAGTGAATGGATCTCTATGAAATTTTACCACAAGGTTCAGTACCACAAACGGAAGGTTGAGATTGATTTTGGGGGTTATGGTACCAACAGTTAAGGAATTAGGGGCCAAAAATAGGCATTTTTGTAACTTCCAGACATAACTTGTGTGTTAGTGTATGGATCTCTCTGACATTGTTCAACAAGGTTCCATATCACAAAGGGAATTCTGGGATTGATTTTGGGGGAAATTGCCTCAAAATTTTAGGAAATTGGGGCCAAAAAAGGGGCAAAAACAAGCGTTTTTCTAGTTTCATGACAATAACTTGTGTGTAAGTGTATGGATCTTTCTGAAATTGTACTACAAGGTTCCATATCACAAAGGAAAAGCTGGAATTGAGTTTGGGGTAATTGCCCAAAACCTTTAGGAATAAGGGGCCAAAAATAAGCATTTTTCTAGTTTCCAGACAATAACTTGTGTTCAAGTGTATGAATCTCTCTGAAATTGTACTGCAAGGTACCATACCATAAAGGAAAGTCTGGGATTGATTTTGGGGGTAATTGCCTCAAAATTTTAGGAATTAGGGGCCAAAAAGGGAAAAAAAAACAAGCATTTTTCTAGTTTCAGGACAATAACTTGTGTGTAAGTGTATGGATCTTTATGAAATTGTACTACAAGGTTCCATATCACAAAGGGAAATCTGGGTTTGAGTTTGGGGGTAATTGCACTAAACGTTTAGGAATTTGGGGTCAAAAAGGGGCCAAAAAACAAGCATTTTTCTAGTTTCCAGACAATAACTTGTGTTCAAGTGTACGGATCTCTGAAATTGTACTGCAAGGTTCCATACCACAAAGGGAAGGCTGGGATTGAGTTTGGGGGTGATGAATCATAAGGGGGGGATTTTTTTTTCATTTTTTTTCTTTAAAATTTTCCATTTTAAATTGGTTATTTCTGATTTATATATAAAAGCAAATAATAATGATATGGTTTGAATAGGTAAATTAAAATTTTTTAAGTTCTTTGACCACATTCATTCTGTGTCAGAAACCTATGCTGTGTCAAATATTTAATCACAATCCAAATTCAGTGCTGTATCAAGCTTGAATGTTGTGTCCATACTTGCCCCAACTGTTCAGGGTTCGACCTCTGCGGTCGTATCAAGCTGCGCCCAGCGGAGCATTTTATTAAGAATACAACAAAACAACATAAGATCACGTTCCCATATTGAATTTTTCAAAAAATTTGTGTAGATTATCATAGATTATCAAAGATTATCGAGTTTTCTGCTGATTTATATTGTAAAACGTTAGCCTCAGTTCCCAATGTGAACCGTTTTGTTGAACAAGTGACACAAACCAGCCAAAAATATCTAGCAGCTTATATTTTAATATATTTTGATATTCTTTTCATGGTTCAAGGATTGCATGAATGAAAATTAGTTTGTTATCACATGATTTTTTTTTCTGAGTTATGGGAGTACTATATTTAGACAATATATTCATTATAAATTAAATAGGGAGATGTGGAATGATTGGAATGTGACAACTATAAACCAGAGACCAAACGACAAGGATGTAAACTATATGGCACTAAACAATGTGCTAATCTTATACCATTTAGTAAACTATGAAAGGTCCTGCCGTTACAAACTACCAAACAATTCAAAAGTGAAAACTTAGAACAAATAAGGCAGACATCAACCAAGGAAAACCACTGAATAACAGGTTCCTCACTTGGGACGGGTACATAAAAAAGAGGCAGGGTTTAAAACATGTTTGTGAGTGCTCAACCTGGGACAGTCGTGCAACAGTACAACAACTATAAAAGTAGTTGGAAAAGACTTTACTCATCAAACCAGCACTATATGCACACAAAAAGACAAATAACACGAGGTATCATCTAAGAGTACTAAAATCTAGTTCAAAGCTTATTCAAACTAATGAATAATCCATGTTTTCCCTCACTGGACTAAATTTTCAATCAATAAGTTTACATGTATCATAAAAAAAAAATAAGATGTGATATCCTGTTTGTAATGTTATTTCTACAGTAACAGCCAAACTTCCAATCCTATTCTTTCTCTATCTATGAAAGACTTCAGTGAACAAAAATGATAATATAATTCCCTCACTAAATAATTTACCAGTTATACAAAGATTATGTTAATTGAAATCTAAAATGACACTTCAGACACAGGCCAGCATAGCAAATGAGTTAGGAAATATGCACGCTGTAAGAAATGCAGAAAGGAATATCACCGTCCAAATTAGGAAACGAAAAATTAGACTTTAGTCATAAATTGTAGTATAGAGTTTCTGCTTGTAAAACTGATTGCAACATATTCCTGTCCTTCAAAAAGAGTTGATCTAACCTTGACCTCATTGATTTTGATTTTGAAAATGAATATCCAGGCCTGGTAAGAGGTGAAAAGAAATAACCTTGCATAAGACAGGATGAGAATGATAGAATATTCTGCGAATCATTCATGTGCAAAAGTGCAAATAAATTTCTGTGCAGCAAAGCCGCAAAAAAAAATGATAAGCATTAGATGAAAATGAAGTCAATCTGAGAAAAATCCTCCTTTAACCTCCATTTTAAAATGTCTGTATTAGCTAGGTTTTAGACTTTCAAGCATCACTGAAGAGACAATTAATTTAATTGTCCAAATACACATCTGGCTCAAAAAATTGTTTCCGTTATAATTTATTAGTTTCAGTGTGAATTTTTTTTCTCGCAAAATTACGATTTTTTAACCCTTTTTCACGGTTCACTAAACATAATTAAAAATTGATAGTAACTCTAAAGCACATCAGGTTAAAAGTTTTGGTAAAGGTAGATTTTCATGCAGTTGTGGTCACATCGATCTGAATCTTAGTTTCAAAGCACAGACACTTGTCTCTGAAAAAAAAATCCTATATACCTTAATATTATATTTTTTTCAGAGACAAGTGCCTGTGTTTCAAAGGGATTTGTGTTGATCTTGCTTTTATATAATAGTTATAAGTATTGTTCTTTGTTCTTTTTTATTTTTTGCGTTGCTTATACCAGTTACAGTCTTGTCTATCCTTTGTCATGAAAAACGTGTTTCAATTCCAATATTTCAGATTCAGGGTTAGAAAATTTACAAATGGTTTACAAATTTGGTGATAGCTTAGGGTTAGATAAAGAGTCAATAACAAATCCACTATTATAAGTTATATGGTTCGCTACTGACCCCCTACGGATCCATAGAGGGTTAGTAAAATCCATAGGGGGTGAGGCCGAAGGCCGAATATCCTATGGATTTTATTCACCCTCTTTGGTCCGTAGGGGGTCAGTAGTGAACTGTATAACGAATTTATCGCACGCGGGACTTTTTCTGCTGTGTTTTGTAGAAAAATAAACAATGAAACACAACAACATTAATAGATGACGTCACCATTTACAGTAGACGTGACGTCATGAACCCCCTATGAAATTTCTAACCCCCTACGGATCCATAGGGGGTCACCACGTGACAGCGTTAAACCAATCACAACGTGATAATTTACCCGCGGTGCGATAATGATTGATAACTTATTCCTTGATATAACTAAATAACATTTTATATGAGTAACATGACGGGTGTCATATGTGGAGCAGGATCTGCTAACCTTTCTGAAGCACCTGAGACCACCTCTGGTTTTTGGTTGGGTTCATGTGGCTCAGTTTTGACTTTTCTCTGTTGTGTTTTGTGTACTGATGTTTGTCTTTTCATCGTTTTTCATTTTTTGCCATGGCTTTATCAGTTTGTCTATCGATTTACAGTTGCGAATCTAGCCATTTTTAAAAGGGGGCTCCAACAAATCCAAGTCATATAAAAAGGGGGTTCCTACCATATATCCCTTTACAAAAGCATTAGTTGTCCAACAAAAAAGGGGGGTGTTCCAACACCTGGATAAATCTTGAACAGGTAAAGGGAGTTTCAAAGCAATGCATAAATTAACTGCACTGACACAAATATAGTTCCTCGATCCTTAGCTGATTAACGGCGGTGCTCTTTACATAGGAGGTTCTTACGTACGTAGACAGGAAGAAGTTATTAACGTTTATTTAAAGTATCTTTCCCTTCTCTTTGTAGGTTCCTGCTTACGGATTTTTTTCTGGGAAAAACGGTGTGTGAAACTTTATTTTAAGGGGATATACAGAACTGTACAACATTTACTCATGTTTCATATAGCATTTGCTATTAAAGTCGAAGTCTGTTAAAGAGTTGACGTCTTTAAAGATCAGATTTCTACAGTTGTATAGATCTATTATTTATATATGATTACTCGGCCCATAAGTACTTGTAACAAATTTTGGTTATAAAATAATCAGCCTATAACTAACATGGACTATAAGACAAATATAAAAAAGATTATTATGCCTCACAGTATAATAGAATAAATCTATTGGCTAATAAAAGATCATATGGTGTCACTGTGAATAGACAACTTTCGAGTTATGTCCTTCACCGGAAAAGTGTGTCAATTAGGCATGCCTTTTAGTTTATGATGTCATTTACCAGATAGAGTGGACCACTCCTATCCCTGCACTATTGAAGTTCATCCAGCGTTTTCGTGATCGTCATTATGCAGGCTAATCTAGAAATAATGTTTGTTCTGTAGGTACTTAATCACAATTTCCTAATGACAGCAGTGCTGATTATCCATTATAAGAATTTATTACATTGGTAGCATTGAATTACATTGATTTCCCAGTCAAATAAAAACCGATAATTTCACATGTGAAATAAACGTGGTTATTTCACTCTCTGACGTCATACAACAATAGGCGTTGTCAAGACGTCGATTATGTCGGATCAAAACAAATTGTGAATGCGTAGAAAAAAGATATAGTTCCTTACATTTTCTACATTAATTTCATTAAAAAAAGCCATTTGCCAATGTAATAAAAAGAATAACTAATCAAAGAATTCAAATATCGAAAAATATTCAACTCGTGACCGAACAACACTGATAATTAACTCATGCGCTACGCTCATTCGTGAATTAAAGTGTTGTTCGGTCACTCGTTGAATATTTTTCTGTATTTGAATTCTTCAATTAGTTATTCTATAATTAATTTGCCGAATAATTCGTGCAATAAAGCATCATATTTTTGCAACTGCTTGCTCAACATGTGAAGGAAGTGATGATGCCCCTAAACGCATGAATGATGTTCACTAAAAACAAATTTTTTGACTGAAATGCAACAAACTCGAATGTGGTTTATTAATTTGGACATTTTCAAATATGTAAGGCCAGTGAATCAGCTTGACAAAATATAATGTCCGGTGGTGAGGCCAATATTTGTTTGGTATAATAAAACAGTTATGGCTGTATGAGTCGGGAGATATCCTAAATTGTCAATAGTGCTTATAATAAGGGTTATTCCCTTCTGACTAAAGCCCTTGGTGAAATGACCCTTAGCAGGGTTGACAATTTTGGATATCCCCCTCATCAGAGGGCAGTAATTGTATTTTATGAAAACGGTATCTTATTATTATTTAGTTTATTCCAAGAAAAAAAAGGCTGAGTTACATGTATCCATAAATGTCATATTGTAAGGCAAAGTTTCTGCGCTATCCAACATACATTTTTGTACTTTCATTTTCCAGTAGAAGTCAAAATTTTTTGCCCTTCATCCCAGTTGGCCTACTTGGTAGATTCTACAATGTACCATCTGTATTAGTTGTTACAGTTATTTGTTTACATCCAGAATTTGCATGAACTATTTGCTACTGGACATTTATCGCATACAATACAGAAGATATCTTGCATTGATTTTTCCATGAAATTTCAAAATAAATTTAATTGCGATATCCACTTGGCAAATATGCAAAGAAAAATATTCTTTGAGCCCTTCATGACTTAATTTTTCAAGATAGTTCACTTTTTTTTTCGTTTGTTTGAGTTAAAAAAAAAAAATTGCATTTCAATACTTTCCCAAAGAAAAAAATTAAGTCAACTTACAAACAGATAATATGTTTGGGAAATCATGAAATTATTGATAATAAAAAGCCTTTAGACAATTTTCTTGCCTCTGCAAATCCTGCCATTGATTTATTTCTTCCAATTTTTATATAACATTTTGAAAGCAGTATAGAATCAACTGCAAAAGAAGAAAAGGGGTGGGTGGAGGTCCATGAGCATATTTTAGAGCTAAAAACAAAAAACCTATTTTTTAAATGCTGGAAGTTCCATAAATTTGTCTTTATGGTGCTAGATTATGTTGTATTGTATTCTTATTTCATGATCTTGGTACAACTATTCCCGCCTTACATCTAAACATTTAATACACAGATAACTTTCATAAGGTAAAAAAAACTTAATGATAGAAAAGTAACCTGTCTTGAATTACCTTGAACTTTATGTTCCCACAGTAGATTTTGCATGTTTGAATATACAGCATGCTCTGTTACCTTTGCAACTGCTTTTAAATTCATATGACCTATTTGAGTGAATTTTCCATGAATTTTGGTTGCTAAATATAAGCAATGTTACAAAAACAACACTTTAAATTTGGATAGATCATTACCTTCACCTGTTACCTGATCTTATGATATAATAAGTTAATGATATTACTTTTGTGGACATCCTTACCAGAATGGGGATGTTAAATCAGATGCTTCATGTAGGGCGAATTCCACTCTCTCTCTCCATGTTAAAGATCCCTTGCAACAACTCTCGGAGGGGTCTGTAGGTTTCCTGTTGCAAGGAAAAATTATTGACATTATCCAACATACCCCCATTTTCTATTGACACTTTATTTTCCTCCAGCATTTTTTTGTCCAGTGACCTTAGGATATAGCTGTCAGCAACTATATATATATATATATATATATATATATATATATATATTTTAAACCATTGTCATCTTGAATATGCATGAAATGTGTGCCACTGTACATTTTAAGCAAAAATCAATCAATATTTATTTATGGTTTTAACTAAATTCTTCGCACAAGCCTATAGAAAATTTATATTTTGTTGAAGACTGAATTTCATTGTTGACCAACTGGTATATGGGAGTGTAGCAAAACAGTATAGGATTTGATTATGCAATGCATTCCACTTTTGAAATTTTAAATACTGTTTTTGTTTCGGCAGTATACTAGCAAGCTTATTTGAAGACCAGATCCATCATCTGCCTCAGCACATTTTCGTGACTAATCATCAGCCTGTCTGACTATCGTACTATTGGACCATTGGACTACAGACTGTCGGACTACTGGACTGTCAGATTATAGGTCTGACCCCAACCTGCACACCACAAATAACAATGCATCCACATTATGCTCTTCTTTAACACCTATTATATATTCCGGTTCTAGTGGAAATTTCATACTGCCATCTGGGACAAATACATAAATCTATTTGTCTATTGGTGTAATATCATTTTGAAGAAATGGGTAAATAAATTTTTTCTAATGATAAAAAAAATTCAGCATTATTTATTTTTGTATTTTTTTTCATTTACAGAACTTTCCAGTTTCACGATGTCAACACCAAGAAAATGCTTGAGTGGAAAAATTGGTCCCTCAATTCTTAATTCTGACCTTTCTACACTGGCTTCAGAATGTCAAAGAATGCTAGATAGTGGTGCAGATTATCTTCATTTAGATGTTATGGATGGTCATTTTGTACCAAATTTAACTTTTGGCCACCCAATTGTTAAATGTCTCAGACCCAAAATGCCAAATGCAATGTTTGAAATGCACATGATGGTAGAGCCTGCAGAAAGATGGATTGAAGATATGGCAGCCAGTGGAGCAAATATGTATACATTTCATTTTGAAGCAACACAGGATGTTCCTGGATGTGTGAGGAAAATAAAAGAGGCTGGCATGAAGGCTGGAATAAGTATTAAACCTGGTACAAAAGTTGAGGTTTTGGATCCATTTATTGACCTTGTAGACACAGTTTTGATAATGACAGTTGAACCAGGATTTGGAGGTCAAAAGTTCATGGCAGACATGATGCCTAAAATAGAATATTTGAGAGAGCGTTTTAGTGATTTAGATATAGGTGTAGATGGTGGAGTTAGTCTGGATACAATTCAAATGTGTGCAAATGCAGGTGCTAATATGATAGTTTCTGGCAGTGCATTAATGAAAAGTGATAATCCAAGAGAAGTAATGCAAACTTTGAGGAACACAGTAGAGGATTCAATACAAAAATCTCAACTTGAACGATAAAATTAGTAGCTAAGCCACTTTTAATTTGAAATTTGTTATGTTCATACTTATGATCTGAAAAACTAGAACATGATGATGTCATGATGAAGCATAATTTTCACTTTAGCATTGAAGTGTATTGAGGATCTATATATCTAATCACTATTGATAACAAAGTTAATCCTCTATATTGATTGATTCTTTCAATGATGTAAAAATAACAGAAAAATAATCGAAAATATTAGTTTTTATATATTGTTTTGTTATCTCAATTGAAATAATGAACAGACATTTCCAGAAAGCATACATGTAATATGAAATGATTCCTTTAAGAATTCTTTCTGCCTACAGTATTTTTACTTTTATTTTGTAAGTTTATTTCTGAAAAAAAAACTTGAAACAAATCATTTACATTGGTGTTCTGTTGTTTCTAAGCATCAGTTCAAATTGAATATAAATCTTCAGTCAACAGTTACTTTGGAAATTGTTTAGCATTTTAAATGGAAAAAAATATTGAGATTTGTTATGGTTGCAAATAAGACAACTATTCACCAGAGACCAAAGGACAAGGATGTAAACAGCTAATGGTTACTGTATTACCTCCAAGGTTGTTTTATCTCCTGTTGTTAGGTGAATCTGTCCATTTGTTTACCTGCTATATCTCATTTTTGAACTTTTTGTTTTAACAATGATTATGTAAGTTTGAATGTTGTCACTTGTAAATGATGCCTTGAATTCAAGAAAAGGTAGGTATGGATTTATATTCCTTTAAAATCTTTAGAAAAAAGTATATTTTTAGCTCACCTGGTCCAAACTACCAATGCCAATTGGAACCAAACTTGGCCACAAATCATCCTTGGGGTATCTAGTTTTTAAAATTGTGTCCAACAAATGTTTCTGCCAACCAACATGACTAAAAATGGACCATAGGGGTAAAATTCAAATTTTGTCTATTATCTTGAAAACTCCTGTAGAAAGAGAACATCTGACATGGACACAAATGAACAGAATGTTGAAATCTACCTGCTGTCTATTTACCTCAAAACTGTCAGAAGACCTCTTACAGGATATATATATAGGAGTTATTGTTATTGCCCTTAAATGACTAATTTTACCAAATTTTTATGCCCCCGCCGAAGTGGAGGGGGCATTAAATTTTACCCTTGTCCGTCTGTACGTCCGTCCGTATGTCCCAAAATTGGTTTCCGTTCTCTAACTTTAGTTTGCCTCAACCAAATGTCATTAAACTTATACACAATGCTTATCACAACAAAACACAGATCAAGTTTGAATTTTTATGGTGTCACTTTTACCGTTCTAGAGTTATGCCCCTTTACAAATGGAAAACTTGCTGAATTTTTTGTTTCCATTCTCTAACTTAAGTTTGCCTCAACCAAATAATATGAAACTTATACACAATGCTAATCACCACAAAACACAGATCAAGTTTGAATTTTAGTGGTGTCACTTTTACCGTTCTAGAGTACTGTTATGCACCTTTACAAATGGAAATATTGCTGAATTTTTCGTTCCTGTTCTCTAACTTTAGTGTGCCCCAACTTATTGTTATGAAACTTATAAACAATGCTTATTACCACAAAACTCAGATCAAGTACAAACTTGGGTAGCGTCACTTTTACAGTTCTTGAGTAATATCCCTTTATAATGTTACATGCAAGCGGGGGCATCATCTGTGTCCCATGGACACATTCCTCATTTATTTTCATTTTTATATGACTGCAAAATTTTTGCGTTCGTATAATGTTATCACATCTGCATAGTCGTCGTCAGAAGACATTTGGTTTCCAGACAATAACTTGGGTATAAGTGTTTGGATCTCTATGAAATTTTACCACAAGGTACCATACCACAACAGGAAGGTAGGGATTGATTTTGGGGTTTATTGTCCTATTTGTTTAGGAATTAGGGGCCAAAAACGAGCATTTTTCTTGTTTCAGGACAATAACTTGTGTATGGATCTCTATGAAATTGTATCACAAAGTTCTTTACCTCAAAAGGAAGATTGGAATTGATTTTGGGGGTTATGGCCCAAACCATTTAGGAATTAGGAGCCAAAAAGGGGTGAAAAAAACCTAGGATTTTCATGTTTCCAGACAATAACTTGGGTATAAGTCAATGGATCTCTAGGAAATTATACCACAAGGTTCAATACCAAAAAAAGAAAGTTGTGTATGATATTGGGGTTTATGGCCCTAACTGTTTGGGAAAAAGGGGCCAAAAATAATACTTTTTAATACTTTGTATAAATTGCTTATTTCTTGAGCATTTCAATGAGGTTTATTTCAAAGTCTTGAAATCTTGGGGTTCTTTAATATACTTAATCTAACCATGTATTTAGATTTTGGATTTTTGGACACTATATTTAAATTGGTCCACATTGAGGGTCCATTATTAAAGTTTGTTTGATTTCAACAAAAGTTGAATTCCTGGGGTTCTTTGATATGCTGAATCTAACCATGTAATTTAGATTTTTGATTTTGGGCCTGGTTTTCAAATTGGTTTACATTAAGGTCCAAAGTGTCCAAAATTAAAACTTAGTTTGATTTTAATAAAAATTGAATTCAAGGGTTTTTTGATATGCTGAATCTTAAGGTGTATTTAGAATTCTGATTTAGGGCCCAGTTTTCAAGTTGGTCCAAATAAGGGTCCAAAATTAAACTTTGTTTGATTTTAACAAAAATTGGTATTATGAGGTTCTTTGATATGCTGAAACTAACTGTGTATTTATATTTTTGATTGTTTGCCCCATTATCAAAATGGTCCGAATTGAGGTACAAAGGGTTCAAAATGAAACTTTGTTTGATTTCATCAAAAATTGAATTCTTGGGGTGATTTGATATCCTGAATCTAACCATGTATTTAGATTTTGGATATTGGACTATGATAGGTAAAAGTCCAATTTCATTTTTTTAAGTTCTTAGAAAACATTCATTCTGTGTCAGAAACCTATGCTATGTCAAATATTTAATCACAATCCAAATTCAGAGCTGTATTGCACAATTAATAGAAATTGTTAGTAGATTCATAGTTAAAAATAGATATAGCATCATATTATACTTTTAGAAATTATGTATTAATATAGTTTGAAATTTACTGTACATTATTAGATATTTGAAAAATAATCATCATCCGAAGACACATTTGGTTTCCAGACAATAACTTTAGTTTAAGCAAATGGATCTCTATGAAATTTTACCAGAAGGTTCAATACCATAAAAGGAAGGTTGGGATTGATTTTGGGGGTTATGGTTCCAACAGTTTAGGAATTAGGGGCCAAAAACAAGCATTTTTATACGACTGCAAAAAAATTTTGCGGTCGTGTATGACGTTGTCGTCGTCGTTGTTGTCGTCGTTGTCGTCGTCGTCCGAAGACACATTGGTTTTCGCACTCTAACTTTAGTTTAAGTGAATGGATCTCTATGAAATTTAACCATAAGGTTCAATACCACAAAAGGAAGAATGGGATTGATTTTGGGGGTTATGGTACCAACAGTTAAGGAATTAGGGGCCAAAAAGGGGCCAAAAATAAGCATTTTGTAACTTCCAGACATAACTTGAGTGTTAGTGTATGGATCTCTCTGACATTGTACCACAAGGTTCCATATCACACAGGGAATGCTGGGATTGATTTTGGGGGTAATTGCCTCAAAATTTTAGGAAAAAAGGGGCAAAAAACAAGCATTTTTCTAGTTTCATGACAATAACTTGTGTGTAAGTGTATGGATCTTTCTGAAATTGTACTACAAGGTTCCATATCACAAAGGGAAAGCTGGAATTGAGTTTGGGGGTAATTGCCCAAAACGTTTAGGAATAAGGGGCCAAAAAGGGGCCAAAAATAAGCATTTTTGTCGAGCCTTCGACTTTTGTCGAAAAAGCGAGACATAGCGATCCTACATTCCGTCTTCGTTGTCGTCGGCGGCGTCCACAAATATTCACTCTGTGGTTAAAGTTTTTGAAATTTTAATAACTTTCTTAAACTATCCTGGATTTCTACCAAACTTGGAAAGAAGCTTGTTTATGATCATAAGATAGTATCCAGAAGTAAATTTTGTAAAAAAAAAAATCCATTTTTTCCGTATTTTACTTATAAATGGACTTAGTTTTTCTGCCAGTTAACATTACATTCACTCTGTGGTTAAAGTTTTTAAAATTTTAACAACTTTCTTAAACTATCCTGGATTTGTACCACACTTGGACAGAAGCTTGTTTATGATCAAAAGTTAGTATTTAGAAGTAAATTTTGATAAAATTTTGTTCCATTTTTTCTGTATTTTACTTATAAATGGACTTAGTTTTTCTTCCAGTTAACTTTACATACAGTCTGCAATTAAAGTTTTATAAACATTTATTAGATTCAAAAACCATCCTGGATTTTTACCAAACTTGGACAGAAGCTACTTACAATCAAAAGATAGTATAGAGAGGAATATTTTTATTAATTTTTTTCCTCATTTTTGTTGAGCCTGCGATTAACAGCAAAAGTAGGCGAGACACTGGGTTCCGTGGAACCCTCACAAATTTTTCTAGTTTCCAGACAATAACTTGTGTTCAAGTGTATGGATCTCTCTGAAATTGTACTGCAAGGTACCATACCACAAAGGGAAGGCTGGGATTGAGTTTGGGGGTGATGAATCATAAGGGGGTTCAAAAAATTGGGGGGGGGGGGGGGGGGGGGGGTTCCTTTTTTTCCTTTTTTTTTCTTTTAAACTTTTCCATTTTAAGTTGGTTATTTCTGTTTTATATTTAAAAGCAAATAATAATGATATGGTAGGAGATACACACCAAACAGGATGTGTAAATTATTATATAATAAGTATTGAGCAAGAAATTCAATTGCACAGTATTGCACAATAGCAAGAAATCTTCAATTGCACAGTATTGCGCAATAGCAAGAAATCTTCAATTGCACAGTATTGTGCAATAGCAAGAAATATCCAATAGCACAATATTGCGCAATAGCAAGAAATTGTCAATTGTACAGTACATGTATTGCGCAATAGCAAGAAATATTCAATTGCACAGTATTGTGCAAAAGAAGATACTTCGTATAAATTGCTTATTTCTTGACCAATTTCAATGGGGTTTTATTCTTGAATTCTTGGGGTTCTTTAATATGCTGATTCTAACCATGTATTAAGTTTTTGGATTTTGGGCCCCGTTTTTAAATTGGTCCACATTGAGGTCCAAAGGGTCCAAAATTAAACTTTGTTTGATTTCATCAAAAATTGAATTATTGGGGTTCTTTGATATGCCGAATCTAACCGTGTATTTAGATTCTTAATTTTTGGTTCCGTTTTCAAATTGGTCTACATTAAGGTCCAAAGGGTCCAAAATTAAACTTAGTTTGATTTTAACAAAAATTGAATTTTTAGGGTTCTTTGATATGCTGA